GAAAGACAGAATACTAATGTGTTTTTCCAAAACAATGCATACCATTTTCCCTGTTACATCAGCAACTTTGTGTTCTGCTTTTTGGATGTTTAAAGAGGTGTTTATTTTGAGAGGTAATCAGTATAATTATTTGTCTCTTAAACACCGTGCCACATATCTTTATTCATATACACATTATCTCAGATGCAAACATACATAAAAACATAATGCTAAATTAATTTGAGTAAACGGAAAAGTTTCAAATGATGAATAAAAGCAGAAGTATTTTGAAAGCACTGATCTGCAACCCAATTTTTTCTGGGATAGGCTCTGACTCCCCTGTGACCCTGTATTGAATAAAGTGATTAGAAAATGGATGTTAATTCCGTGACGTGTTTTTGTGAATTAAAAATCCGCACTGATGCGTTATTTCTGGCCAGTGGGGGGAACCTGGTCTGGTTTGTCATGTGATGCTGTCTTTGTCTTTGCAGAGGCTTCTGTCAAATGAAGAGGAGAAGAACAAAGCCATTATCCAAGAGGTCTGCTTTATGGTATCCTTTTCTAAAAACAGAAACTGTACAAGGTACTGGTCCTCCTGTTTGCATAATGACAATTACACCTAACAAGATCTGTCAGCATTAGCGAAGGCTTCAGATCTGACATTGTTTATAGAAGGGTGTGGTAGGTTCTGTCTGTTCTGTTATCAGTTATGAACTTACTCTTGAGCTGTTGCTACAACCTGTAGTTGACCAGAAGCGGTTTGCAGGAATGTGAGCTGTAAAGAACTTAAATGACAGTTCTGCTGCACACACCCATAGGGTGAGAATTTCACTGTGTGGGACTTTGGTTGGCTCTTTATATTCCTTGAAGCGAGCCTGGATATTTCCCAAGAACCATCTCTGCAGTTACAACAATAATTTTGGAGATCAAGAGAAACCTACATTAGTTGACTTTCCCTCACCTCCTCTTAAACCTTTACTGAAACACTTCTGTAAATTGATATTTTATGGAATTTGAGGCATATGTATACAAAAGTTTCTCCATTAAACAGTGTGATTTATTGCTGACTTTGTCATTCGTGTTTGTTGAGAAACGCAAACAATTGGAATCGCCTCAGAGTGAAAATGCTTTTTTTTTTTACTGCAGAGCCAAATTGTAATTGTTGCCATGGGGTTTTGTTTTCAATACGATTAGAAAAGACAAACTCGAGGAGCACCCTTTTAATATTGGAGAAGAAGAGATTGAACAGCTGTGTCACATATAGCTTTTGCTTTTCAAAATGGTTCATGAATCTCTATGGTAGCCGTTATTTCTAATCTCTTCTTTTGGTCTCTTATGTGAGTATTGGGTCCAGGCTGTGTCTTTCTTTTTTTAACAATGCATTACTGGTCCTGGTGCGAATGGGCTTTTCTTAGCTCTGGAATGTCTGCAAACAGTGGATCCTTTTCTTTCTTCAGATGGGCTTCAGAGTTTTTTTTTGCTCTATAAAACAGTTAAGAAGTGAACATGATCTAATAACATCAGAAATATGTTTCTGTTTTAAATTAAATATGTTAATTTGTTAAATATGTTTTTAAATAAAATAATTTAAAACAAAATAATTTAAATCATAAAAGGTAAACCACCTGTTCTCTAGGGGTTGTGAGTATTCAACTGATTTCATAATTAGGAAGGTGAGCCAACATTTTGTGGGTAATTCATCAGTACACCACAATATCCTTTTACAAAGCTGGAAATAAGGACATTTTGTCTTTTGTTGTTAAAGTTTCAAAAACATATCACAGTGCTGCCCGTTTAATAAACAGGCTTCAATCAAGAACCTGAGTCAAGTTCTTTAAAATGCCTCAACAGCTGCTATTTGAAGAGAAGCTAAATATTGTGCAGTACATATTTTTACTTACATCTATGTATTTCATATCCATGCAGTGCCCCCGATTAAATCGGAGAAATAACATTGTATAACAAAATGTTTTTTGCATTTGATCATGTCTTCATTAAACAAATCTTAAAAAATCTCAAACTGTAATCATAAAGGCATTGCACAGAGAAAAAACACATTTCTCCTAAATAATTAAATTCCAGAAAAAGAGTATTTAACTTTATTTTGACATAGAAGTTTGCCAAGTGCAGTGCTATTAAGATTACTAATATAATATAAGTATTAATGACATAAGATTATTAAGATATATTTTCAAAGATGCAAATCTTTCTGTTGTACAATGTTTTTTGTTTCTATTTCATGGGGGTCTGAATTCATTTGGAGGGCACCATATGAGTTATGTTTATGCCAAATTACTGTGTTACACTCTGATGAAATTACATGAATATGTGAATAACACAAGTGTGCAAGGAATTGCCCAAAAGTAGTGCATAGCATGAAAGATTTTAATACCTATGTTGAGATTTAACTTTAAGGAAATATCTAAATATGATAAACATTTGAGATGGAGGTCTTTAGCATGTTGCTTCATTCATTTTTCGTTTGACTGGTTTCTTGCTTTGATCAATTATTTCTCTCCAAAGGTGAATTTCCTTCACTGCTAGTACACAGAAAAAGCTTTCAGGCCACCCCAATATTGTGCAGTTCTGTGCAGCTGCGTCTATAGGGAAGGAGGAGTCAGACACTGGGCAGGCTGAGTTCCTCATCCTCACTGAGCTCTGTAAAGGTACAGTCAATTTCACTCAGTTTGTATTGCCTGACAGCTGGCTCGCATCTCCTCTAAGGGTCAAGAGGTTTTGCCATAACCGTCCCTTAACCGATGTTTCATCATGGTGCTACTTTTTATCCTTCAGTCACTATAAGGAAAGTAAAAGAGCTAGATGATTACAAGGTACGTGCTCAAAGCCTCATCTGTGGACCAGATATTGCTTGAGTCCAGCACGCTGTGTTATCAGCAGACTACGACTCTGATTCCTTACATCAGTTACATTTTAGTTGAATAGCATTTGCATACTTTCTGCAAGCATGCTAAAAGTTTAAATGTGAATGTTTGAAATTATCTACAATACTTGTCCAGCTATTTAGCAAAAATGTTTGAAATAAGAATAAGGTCTGATTACAGTTTTTTTTTGTATCAAATGTAGAAGCGACATAAAATCTTCCTGAAGTAGCTGATAATATGATTGTGCACAACTGTGGAGTGGAGGGAGGAAAGGCGGTTTTAGTCTCTGTTGAAGTGGCATGTAAATGATGACTTAATGGAGGTAAAATGCGTGTACGTCTCCCTCACAGGCCAGCTGGTGGATTTCATCAAGAAGGTGGAAGTGAAAGGCCCAATGTCTTGTGACACCGTGTTAAAAGTCTTTTATCAGACCTGCCGCGCCGTGCAACACATGCACAAACAGAAGCCGCCGATAATTCACAGAGACCTCAAGGTGAGAGGGCTGCTCCTGCTGTTTACAATTACTTTTTTTCTTTTATTTCCCTACACGCAATAAAATGCAACAGAAAAATAGCCATTTTCACCACCCCACATAAACTTGCCTCACCCACCCCCCCTCTTTCTTACTCCCCTACAAAGTTTCTAGGACCCCTGAAATACAGTAAACCCTTGGTATAATGGACTAATATAAGAGGAAAGGAAATTTTGTCCAATGTCTATTAATTTTTTCAATCCAAAAACACTATTATATGAGAATATGTAGTATATATTACCATACGCTTTCTGAATCTTTTGACGTGTTTTGTCAATTGCAATTAACATAATGAAACTTGTTCCTCTGCCTTTATTTCATGTGTTTTAAATTTACTTTGTATGATTATAGCATACCAAACGCAAACAGCTGCCATATATACGCAATTCGCCTGCCGTTACTGTGGGATAAGTGCTGTGTTTCTGTTTTAACAGACACAATTCCCCTTTAGCAGATTTTGTCCATTAAATCCAAAGCTAAGCCAAGGGTTTATTGTACAGTCAAACAGCTATAAAGGAGACCCCCGGCAACAAAGCAAGAGGCGTTGACTGTGGCAGCAGTGGCTCTCCAAGCCTCCACAGTGCCCTCACCAGTGCCATGTGTGCTATTAATCTCTGTTCCATATAATGGATATCAAGAACAAGCAGCTTTTCATATATAGTTGGACTAGGCTATTAGATTTGTTTCTGCTGCTATGAGAGGCCCTGATTAGTCATGATCCAGCAATAGTACTAATTATGAACAGGAATTAACCTGTTTAGAGTAATGGAAAAATAGGAAATGAACTGTTTCCAGGACTTAAAGAAACCTCTGGAAGCTCTCAAAACACAAGTAAGAATATGCCCACAGTCTCTCTCGCCCCCACCCCCCCCGCCGCCTTCTTGGACAGGGTAGGATCTCCTTAACATTGAAGTCCCTATTTCCAATCGTAGCCTCTGCTAGCATCTTAAGATACTGTAATATGGAGAAATAAATCCCTTTGGTTTAGCCCTGATGTGAACAGATGATAGTCTGGGTGTAAAGCGAAGCTCACCCCCCAGGGGGCGCCATAAAGCAGAGGAGCCGAGGAGCTCTGCTGCCAGTCCAAAACTTGACTATAATATCTAACAATTTCTCCTAAGTCGCAGGAAGACACTCTGCACATTTTCTTCTGCAGAAAAATTAAGGATACAGTGCTTAGATTATTGGCAAGAGCTCTGAAAACCGAAAACGTCACAACCTGGTACAGGCACTGACCTAAATTACAGCCTCTATTACATGGATCTTGTGTTGATCTTAAATATCATAACATGGTATTTTTTAACCAATTAAACAAGCTTTTAAAAAAACATCTTAAAGCTTTATTAAGGGGTTAATTGTTTTTAAAAATGTTTTTTTTATATGAAACATTTATGAAAAAAATAGATGTGTAAGATTGTGCAGTCAGGCGTACATAACACAGATTTGTCCTTATGTCCCTTCCTCTCGTTCATCGTGGTGAAGGGTTTTGTCCAGGAATAGTTATTGGTATAAAATTGACAACCTAAGCAGGAACAAGAGAAAGAAAAGGACAGTTTGTAATAGAACAAAAAGTCAATGTGAAATGACAGGAAGTGCAAAAAAGAGTGTTTTGCAAACACCATTCTCATCAGTTGTAAAACAATAATGTTAAGTCAAGGGTCTTAGGACAGTTTTAAAATTCACCTAGATACTTAATTACTAATTTACTCTTTAGCCGAGACTGAACACTAAGAGAGGCTTTGGATGACAGATTCAAATCAAGAAACTGAGCATTATTTGTGCTCTGACTAGTATGTATGTTCTCCCCATGTTTGCATCAGTTTTCTCCAGGTCCTCCTATTTTCACCTACTGCCCAAAAACATGTTGCTTGGTTAACTGTGTAATGTTGCCATAGCCAAAATGTAAATGTAGTGGCTCTCTGAAGGCACCAGTTCTGTAGGGTTTGGGCATTTACTGGGACAATTATTAATTGTAACAGTAAATCACAAAATTGATTCTTTTGATGGCTTTAGAATCCAACCATGCGACATAACTCAAACAACAACACACACACACACACACAGGTACTAATACACAAGGATACATTTATTAATACATAAAATATGCATATAAACCTAACAGATCTTATCGAGAGGGTTATCAGAATACAAAAGATATATATTCAATCAGTTACAAAGAGTTACATATATCAAGAGGACATACGTTCAGTATATCATTCATTTAGACCGTTTCGTAAATGAACTTGGTTATAACTTCTACATTAGATACTCAAAACAAGTACATAACTCTTAGGAATTAAATTGATATCAACTGGTTGGGATAACAATTGAATTCTCGAGCTGTAATGCATTGAAGTTGAATACTCATCCAATCTTTGGGGATTCAGATCTCCTGCGGGCCAAAGAAACAGTTGCAGGCTTGTTGCTGTCCAATCCGCGCTTTCTGGCTAGGTGCCAGGCTGTGCTTTGCGACTTGCGACGGTGCGCTGCAGATGCTCGCTGACCGGCTAGTTAGTGTTGGCTTTAACTAGCAAAGTTTGTGCACAGGAGAAAAGATGACTGTGGGTCCCAGCAAGTCAGGAAGAGGACCGGTTCGTTCCTGATGAAGAGCTAGTTCTGAATAGTGATTCAGCTGTCCACAGTTCCGACCTGTTCACGAGGCCTGCTGCTGGTGCTAACCTCGGGTGGATCCTCTGGTTACTCTCTGGCAACCTCCGCTCTCGACTCTTAGAACAAAGGAAAGTTCTGGCACTCGGACACACTGGCTGTTCTGTGGTTGTCCGGGCTGAGTCTCAGGATGGTCAGGAGGCGCGCTGCGAGAATGTCCTGCCCTTGGGAGCCTTCTGCTCCTGGGCCGTCCTGGCCTGGAATTCTCCTTTGAATTCCCTTTAGAATTGTCCACAGAATTCTCCTGAATCCCTTCTGAATCTTACTGAATCTCTCAGGCTCTCTCTGTTGCCTGTTTTTACCTGGAGGAACTTCAGCTCGTTGATTGGCTGAAAGTTCCACGGGCATCAGAGTCCCACGTGGGTTACTCGGCCCTACCAGTCCCTGATTGGTTGATCAAGGTGAGATATGAGTCACTTACTCCTGACACTTAGGAATGAAGTCCAGATGTCCAACTGGCACTCCCTAGACAGATAGGCACCGATGGATGACCATTGATCATGATAGCCAGGCTTAGCTAAGTGCATCCCCCTTTGGGAGCTGTCCTAGGAAACCTTATCAAAGGAACCTTAAATCAGCCTGCATGAATAGTTTCTCTGTGGCTGCACCACAGAGATGAACAGAGAAATGGGGCCTCATTTGGGAAGGCTCAGAACACTTAATTCTTTCTTATTAATAAGCCTCACCGCTACAACTGGCTTATGAGCAAATTGGCTCTGGTGTGTGTGTGTATGTGTCTGTCTGGCAATGGACTGACGTCCTGTCGAGGGTGTACCCTGCCTTGTGCCCCTTGCTTGCTGGGATAGGCTTCAAGTGGGCTTTTGGAAAGATATCTGTCCTTTAGAGCTGAAGAAATAATCAGGGTAATTTTACTCTCCTATTCCAGAGTGAGAACCTTCTCATCAGTCAGCAGGGAACGATTAAACTCTGCGATTTTGGCAGTGCCACCACCATTGCACACTACCCGGACTATACCTGGTCAGCCCAGAAGAGATCCATGGTTGAAGATGAGGTTTGTGTTCCTTTTCTTGTCATTGCCTGTGTAGCACACAGCCGGGGTAGTGACAAGACCCTCCTTCGCTTAAGTGTGTGATTGCAGGCTCATTTCTTTCTGAAAATTGTCTTGATGGTCTACAAGGACAAAGGACAACACCAAATGCAAAAAAAGAAATCCATCACTAATGGGAGCTCACATTATTATATTTTGGTTTTCAATGGGCCCTTATGGTGACTTGCCAAATTCTAAAATCAACCTTTAAGAATAAGTGCAAATAGCTACTTTGTGGGTTTGGGGAATATCAATAAAATGACCATGAAGGGTCCACAAAACTGACGGAGAAACACAAGAGCCAAGCAGACTACTGGAGTAAAAAGTTCTTGGGGAGAGCGAGAGGGTGTACAGGGAGAGATAAGTGACAGAGCAGTTAAGACAGCGTTAGGTGAGAACTAGAATCTCATTATTAAATTTCACAACATGTTAAAGTCTGTTTATAGCTTCATGACCTTCAGGAAATACATATTTTTCAGTTACGTTTTTATATTCTGCTTTCTGTGCCTTAAGTTCATTCAGTGATTACTACTGATCTTAAGAGCTTTACCGGCCCCCCTGTCAGAATGTTTGAGATGGCTGGAAGTTGAGATGGCTTGTCAGCTCCACCTTGTGGCTGGAGAGAGGGTGTTTTACCTTACCTTGATTTCCTTATATTGCAGATAACACGAAACACTACGCCTGCATATAGAACACCTGAAATGATAGACCTGTATTCAAATTACCCCATCAATGAAAAGCAAGACATTTGGGTAAGTGAAGAATACAGAGCTTGCTTATGGTGAATCAAAAGCACAGGCTACTAATCTTCGTACTATTGATGTATGTTCATTTTCTTAGCTGCTTGCATCTTCGTTGCGGATAGAACATTTTAAAAGAGGTACAAACCTTTTCACCAATTATGCCCTGCTTTGTTTGTCAACTGAGAATACTGCTATATGCCTCTGTACCACTTGGGCACATGGAGTTAAGAAAGAGCTAAGGTGTCAAAAACACATAGCTGGCATATCCTGAGTGGAATTATGACAAAAATAATTGGTGATTCGAAATTTTAAGAAAGAAAAGCACATTAAATTAATAACATTAAATGACTTATTTTGATTGCTGATCTTTCATGCCTCACTTTATTTTGAAATCTCACATTTGTGTGAATTATTTTTGTGGAAAACAATTTTTATTTATTGGGATTTTTTTTGATTGCCAGGCCCTGGGCTGCATTCTTTTCTTGCTGTGCTTTAAACAGCACCCATTCGAAGAAGGAGCAAAGCTTCAGATAGTCAATGGGAAATACGCCATTCCACAGAATGACACCAAGTATACTGTCTTTCACGACCTCATTCGTAAGTATTTGCGGTCTCTCATTGGAAGTGTCTTGACACAATAGTTACTCACAAGATGCAAGAATTGTTGTAGTGCCACACTGCTCCACAATTTACTGTAGCTGTGAGTCATGATCCAAAAACTACCAATAAGGTATTTATGACCTCACTATACTTTCACAAGTGGTTATACTTTACCATTGCCCCACATTGTGAAAAGGAAAATACGTTTCCTAGCAATTGTCACTGTGTAGTAATCTTTATAATTTCATTTAATAATAATCAACTTACAATAATAAACTTTATTTTATATAGTGCCTTTAAAGGTGGCTTCTCAAAGCGCTTTACAGAATGACAACAATTAACAAAAAAATACGCAAGATATACACAATGAGTGGAGACAGTAGATAGTAGGGAGTACTGAATAAGGTGGGGGAAAAGGGATATATAACGGAACAAGTAAAGTAAAGGCTCTTTTAAAAAAGAACGTGTTGAGTGCAGATTTGAAAGAGCTTAGGGAAGGTGACTCTCTGATATCCTTAGGGATAGAGTTTCAGAGCTCTGGGGCATAACAGAAGGCCCTGTCACCCGTAGAGTGTAGACGGGCTTGGGGAACAGTTAAGAGACCAGAATTAGAGCAGTGAAGGTTGCAAGGTGGAGAGTAGGGCGATAGTAGCTCAGACAGGTACTGAGGTGCCAAGCCATGCAGAGCATTATAGGTGAGCATGAAGATTTTGAACATAAAATCTGACAGGAAGCCAGTAGAAGGACTCCAGGATAGAAGTAATGTGATCACTTGCACTAGACCTAATCAGGATTCTGGCTGCCAGATTTTGGACATACTGAAGTTTGTTTAATCAGGATTTAGAAACCCCAGTGAGTAGAGCGTTACATTAGTCAATTTGGGAGAAGACAAATGAGTTGATCAGCTTTTCAGCAACAGTTAGCAGTAACATAGGACAAAGTCCGGCGATATTTCTGAGGTGCAAGAATGATGTTTTGACTGTGTTGCACATGTCAAGCCAAAATCAAATTTCACCCCCAAGTTTTTCATTTTTGACTGAAGCTCAAGAACAGTACAATCCACAGATAGGGTTGTAGCACTGGCTTTATTGGAAGGTGCCAATAAGCATGACTTCAGTCTTGTCACAGTTTAGATTAAGGACATTTTGAGTCATCCAGGTTTTTATGTCACAGATGCAATTAATGAGAATAGGGCCAGCCACATCAGAGTCAGGTTTGGTATGGATATAGATTTGAGTATCATCAGCATAGAAGTAGAATAGGAGTAGAATAAGGCTTTTTTCTTCTGTTCTAGGATCTATGTTAAAGGTTAACCCTGAAGACAGACTGCCGATCACAGAATTGGTGAACCAGCTGCAAGAGATCTCTGCTGTCAGAAATGTCAACCCTAAGTCTCCCATCACTGAGGTAAAGTCTGTTGTTTCTTCTTAAAATCAGCCCACTACATTTTGAAAACTGATTAATTATTTCTGAGGTCAACGTCTGCTATAAAATCCTTTTCGTTTCGTGTTGTGTTGTGTTGAAAAACCTTTTTCCAAGATATTTGGATTTGAGTGCCCTCCCTGTGTGTTCCCTGTGTTCTGCACTTCTGAGTGTCAGGTTCATTATTTAATTTACCTATTATTGTGCTTATCCCTTGTAAAACAGTCATAAAATAAGAGTCAGAAACATATGAGTGTATTCTGTTCATAGTGTATAGCATGAATCCAGTGTTTGTTTCAGCATCTTTATCATTAAGAGCTCTTTTCAGTTCACCCTTTCACCCCTTCATCACCCCTTCACTCATTCATGTCTTCAGATCCACGTCTCTCTTCATCTTCAGTGAAGCAATTCTGTACTGCTCTTTGTTCTTAGTGTAACCAGTGTCGATCCATTCTGATTGCTGTTTCCAGCAAATTATCATTCTAACTTCTTCATTCTTTCAGTAATGTCACAGACTGCTGTCCCCCTAGAAATCTTTTACTTTTCTGTTCTGGTACAAATCTGTTGACATTTTTTTGCTTTTTCACCAAACAAAAGTTTACTTGAATGAGTTAGAAAAACACCTTCGTAAAAACTACACAACAAATATACAACCCAATAAAACAGCATGCATAAAAATCATATAGCAGACTAATTGTTACAGAAACATACCAGGACCAATGTTGCTGAGCTACATCTGCAGAAAGTCCTTGTCAGGCTTCAGTGGCATTTTTCATCATATCAACATAAACAGCTAACTCTTTTTCATACATCGCCTCTTATCGCTCATTGTTTCCCATTTTTACCTTGCTTCTCTCTACCTGGAGTTCTGCTCTTAGCTTTGAGCTGAAACTGTGTCTCATTATGAACCATTCTGAATAATTGTGTGTCTGAAATGTCATTTGCACAAATGGTTGGAAAGAAGTATGCATATCATTTTGTGTAGTGTGACAATGAGTCACGACAGTATTTGATCGTCTCATTCAAGTAAAGCATTGCTACATCTTCAATATTTTGCAGGGTGACTTGTTTTAACTAGCACACACAAGACTGAGGAATATACTGTGGTATAAGAGAGTCCAAAGTATTGTTCTTAAAAGATTATAAGTGAGGAATAGGTAATGGCTGACCTGAAGTATTTGTTTCCAGTATTCTGCTTATAATTACAATTTTATGTACACGGAGGTGAAGAGTGTACATGACTAAAGTACCAGCACAGTATTTATTAGAGTTCTTAATTTTGGACTGTTCATGTTTTTTTACAGGTATTCACAATCTGTGTGAGGGGACTCTGAGTCTCTATGACTCTGTGACTATGATTTGATAGTTATTGCTGTTTATTTTTATCTCCAGAGGAATCCTAGATTTCCAAAGATCCTGGATTAAATGTAGCATGGTTTTGAAAGGTTAATTTTTCTACCCTTTGCTCAAGGGAGGTGATTAGCATTTCTGCTGGAAACTCAATCTGGCTGTGAAACCTGTTTAGTTTGCTGACTACTGTCTACACTGCGTGTTACAATATTTGATTGTTGAGCTCAGAGTGAGCTCATAGAAGACTGAACTACTGCTTGCTTACTAATTTAGTGAGAAACCACTGAACACTTCAGTCAAATGGTAGAATGAAGATAATTTTTTATGTTTTTATGGCCTTTGTCTTCTGCAAAGTGAGATAGCTGAAACTTGCAAGGAATAGCTTTCATAATTTTCATCTAGTCCAAAATACTTTAAAAGAGCGTTCTTTTAAAATGGCTAAAAATGCATTTGTTTCTCTTTAAGGTGCTAACTTTTTGCTTGTTTGAATTCTGCAGAAGCAGTAGATCGCTCTTTCTTCCAGATGTTTGGACTGGATACATGTTTTTTGTCAATCTCATACATACTTCTCGGCGATTTCCATTGTAAAGATCAAATTATTGAAATGTTTGATTTTTTTCCCCCACTCCATATAAATGGCCTTGTTTTCGAACATCCGTGGCCCCGTTTCTTTAGCGTCACTAACATTCTGAAAACAAAAAGATGTCCACCCCCGAATGCAAATCTGGCATTCTTGCATTCTAAGAAGTCAGTAGCCCTATTCATGGCTGCTCTGTTTTATTTTCCCTCTGCAACAAAGGAATTCTTATCTCTTTAAGGATGCGCTGAAACCTCTGACATAATGCTTGGTGATCTCATGCAATTGTGACTGAAGGCTTCGCATCCTTGTCCTCTGCCTGGACGAGAGTGCACGGTCTTACATTTTTCTATCACAGCAAAGCATTCTCCTGTCTCAGGATGGTGCGCCTTCTACTGTGTGTGTGAGAGCAGAATTAGGGAGATGATCTGGGATAATCTGGTCTTCACGAGTGGGCGAATGAGCTTACCTTCCTGAGAGAAGACACGGTCAAGTTGGTAATAAGAAGTAAGGAAGACAGTTGGACCAGAAGTCTGATTAAAGAAGGCTAGCTTCACTGCACCTCCCCTGGAGGCAGACGAGCAAGCGCTATGTGCGAAGAGAGCATAATATTGTAAAAAAAGACACGGCCTTAGAGCAAACCAAAGGTTGTTTTTTTTTAAAAAAAACGTGAATGTCTGGAATCTCCCATGAGTCTCCTTAGCACCTATTTTTGGAAGCCCTCTTACAATGGCTATGAATCGTTGCAGCTGCTGGAGCAGAACGGAGGCTATGGGAACAACGCCACACCCCGGACCTCCGTCTGTGCCCCACCCCAGGGGTCACGGCCTCCCGCGCAGATCAACAACATGCACAACGCAGGTAAGAGTGGGCTTCTGTAGTCCTTACAGTCTCATGCAGGTTGGCACCTGGGTTCAAGATGATATCCATTTGTTTTTGTATGTCTTGTAATTAGTTGTTTTCAAATAAAAAATATAACAAAAACGTAAGCAGGATCAATTTTCCTGGGATTCCTCAGGTATTAAGGTAAAATGGAAAGTGAAGGACCGTTGAAGGAAGGCTTTGACAACAATCCTCTAACCTTGCTTTACCTCTGGCACAGTTTTTTTAACACAAGCATTAATAAGTAAAATATATGAACAGCAATAGGATATCAAACAAATCAGGTCTGGTGGTGCTTCTAAGTTTGTGCATAACATTTAAGATTCACCATGTTGTTGGTGGAGTTAATGTAGAAACATAGTGTGGGGCTGTAATGTCAAAACCACAGTGAAAAACAAAAGCGTTCTACTTCACAGTTTTTCAGCCTGCCTGCTGGCAAGTTCCATCAGTGATTTCTCTGATGTGGGGCTCAGTCTTGTACTTCCTAAAAAACGCTAAGCTTTTGTCTCTGGAAATGCTACAGAGCCTTATTTAATATTCTTGTGTTCTCATGTGGTCTGTTCAAAGAATGTTGATCACAGTCCTAAGAAGGTAAATAAGTATTTAGATCATGCCAAACTGCCACATATTATGATTTATAAAGGACGTCAATCAATGAAAAGGTTTGAGGCATGTTTTGAAAATAAATTCTAAAATGTGAGTTGGTTAACACACAAGGCTTCTCCTGGGGTATAAGAGGATTTGCTTTCTTGCCATCTGGTGAAGTTTGGCTTTCTGTTGTGGAGGATGGGGGATCAAATTCACATTGTCTTTCTACGTTAGTTCAAGCTATGTGACTTATGGAATCATGTTGTTTATTAGAAGAGAATTTACTGTGGTCTTGACATAATCCTTATTACCTCCAAATAGTGATGCCACTTTCTTTGAGGGTTTCATCACAAAACCCGTCCTTATCTGTGTGAAGACCTTTTAAATCTGGTTTAAGCAAGCAACAGAATTCTAGGTAAAACTAAAGCATAGGGTATAGCATATTTTGACTTCTAGAATTTTTTCTAGAAGGTCTCTCATAAAAGGTTGATTCTCTGATTAAAAGCTTTAGGAATCCAAAGAAATGCATGCACAGGGATCAAGAACTGGTTACTAAATTAGAAACAGTGCTTTGCTTCCTGTTAAAGGGAATGATGACTACCTGGCACAAGAACACAATGGTGTGCCAAAAGGATTCGTTTTGGTGCCATAGCTCTTCCTGATTTATTCATCTCTTTAAATATGCAGATTGACATTGAAAAGTGTAAAACAATCCACAATGGCAGTGGTAACATACACTATACATGGTGTAGGTGTAAATATCTGGGTGTTCATTTATATTCTTTTTTGCAATAGAATGTAATTTTAATTTATTGGGGAGTTAGTAAACTAGTGTGTTCAGTTTTGGTTTCAATACTAAAATATAGATGTCTTGTATAGACAGGTTAAGGGAGCTAAATTTCTTGGATCTAGAATAAAGGAGATTAATTTTTGAAGATTTGAATCAAGTATACAAGACCCTTAGGGATACAGATAAGATCTATGCAGGTAACTATTTCATGCTTAGAAGGAAAACAATGCCATTGATTCACAGTTTAAAACTTGTGAGGGAATTCATTTCAGATACAGAATAGAAAACACTTCTTTACCCAAGGAGTTGAGAGTTTCTGTAACAGACTCCAGACACTTCTAAACGTTTGCATAGGAACTCAACTCTCAAATGAGCAGTGATCCAAATTGCTTCATTTTCAACTTCTGTGTTCTACAACAAGCTTTTAGTATTTCCCATTTTCTGTCAGAACATTTACAGTCCTAGGATGATGATGATGATGATAATAGTAATAATAATAGTAATAATAATTGCTTACACTTATATAGCGCTTTTCTGGACACTCCACTCAAAGCGCTTTACAGGTAATGGGGACTCCCCTCCACCACCACCAATGTGCAGCACCACCTGGATGATGTGACGGCAGCCTTAGTGCGCCAGAACGCTCACCACACATCAGCTATCAGTGGGGAGGAGAGCAGAGTAATGTAGCCAATTCATAGAGGGGGATTATTAGGAGGCCATGATTGGTAAGGGCCAATGGAAAATTTGGCCAGGACAACGGGGTTACACCCCTACTCTTTTCGAGAAGTGCCCTGCGATTTTTAATAACCACAGAGAGTCAGGACCTCGGTTTTACATCTCATCCGAAGGACGGCGCCTGTTTACAGTACAGTGTCCCCGTCACTATACTGGGGCATTAGGACCCACATGGACTGCAGGGTGAGCAACCCCTGCTGGCCCCACTAACACCTCTCCCAGCAGCAACCTTAGTTTTTCCCAGGAGGGAAAAAAAAACACCTAAGGATTTACAAAGCAGCCGTGTCAGGTCTTTGGTATCTTAGCTGTGTAGCATGTGGAATTTACCAGGATTACTTTTTAGAAAAGTAACATAATATAATTTAAAAAAATGAGAGGTGACAATCATTCCCCTGTGGTGGGTATTGGGTAATTGACAGTTACATCTATATATAATATTTGTGTGCGAAAGTTTGAGAATTTCAGGTATGTGCTCTTAGTGTGTAAAATCGCTTTTCTTTCCAGAATAATATGTAAAAAATCTTGAAATATTTGTTAAACAATTAATGACATTATATTTTATATATACATTATATTCCGGTGGAGAGCTGCTATAAATGTTATATATGTGTATGTTTATATATGTGTATATATATGAGTATAAATATGAAAAATGTTATATATTGTTATGTTTGGGCCTATATATTGCTATATGTTATATTCCATGCTATATCTAGATGTAAACACTCCTCAAATGTCTGTTTCTCTCAGGGGTTTATGGTTCTGAGTGTGACCAGTCCATGACTGGAGGCTTCTTTGATATCTTGAAAGGAGGAACAGAAAGGTTTTTGTCAAACATCAAGGACACCTCATCGAAGGTCATTCAGTCAGTAGCTAGGTGAGTCAGCGTGTGAGTTGAGAGTTGAAATTATTAAAAATTAAATCAGATGGTTACTATGACTGTTTTCTTGTTTTTTAAAATCAACCACTGCATTATCATTTTGAACATTTTAGAAATAATTGCAATGCAATTGCTGAGTAATTATTTTCATTTATTTAAGCCTTTAAAATAATAAAATATATTAAATATCACTTTGCTGAGCAATTCATATTTGCTTTGTTAATCATTACTAATCAATGTTTATTGTTATTAAATAAGTCAGGGCTGTCCAATCCCTTTCCTGGAGGGTCAGTGCGTCTGGGTTTTCGGCCTGAGGAGTTAAATCGGCGAGTTACTTGCTTAACTTGACCAGTTTAACAGTTTCACCAATCTCTTCAGGTCCTGAAGCTTTAGATAGACATTGAAAACTTGTAGACACATTGACTTTTCCAAGACCAGAATTGGATACCCTGGTTAACAGTTCTTCTCTTGTCTGACAGTTAGCATTGTAAGATCTTACTTTTCACATCCACACTTAATACCACCAGGAGCAGGGCTTCTCACTTAAACACACAAACGTTAATTTGACCGTTTATTGCATCAACACTCCAGATCCTGGAGGGCCGGCACGTCTTTTTGTTTTCAATCCATCCTGGACACTAAAGGAACAGGAGTGAATATCAGTGCTTTACTGTATCTGTTTTTGAAAGCTGGAAGTAGTTGAAGGGGAACTTGTCGTACCACCCTAGTCTGATCATTAGGGTGCTGCATATAGTAACAGAACTGTATCTTACACAAGCAGCATCCAGACTAAATACATTTCCTGTTTCTAATAATATATTGCTGTCTAACAACAGCATTAAAGGGTATGGGGAGACTTCTTTTGATAATCTTCAAAAACTTTTTTTTAGGATTGGCAGATTTCAACTAGAAGGGAAACCAAAACGTTTCAGTTTCTGATATCAGCTTGGAGTTGATTATAACAAACACTTTAGCAAAACAGAATAATTATTTTGGAGCCGCTGAAGGAGAGGTGATGCTGACCTCCTGGATATTTTCTTAGCTTTCGTTGCATGGTCCACAATTTTCCACAAATGTAACTATCATTTGCCCATTTTTTCCCGCATCACTCCCTCCTGCACCACTGCTCATGGTCTTTTGACTACATCCAATAGCAACCAAAGGTAAATATTTCCGGGCCTGTGTGCGTGTGTCAGTGTGCCAACTGTCACGGTACCGAGCTTGGTATGTGTGTAACCATAGCTTGTTGGCCCCTTGCATTTTAAACTTTACTAGCTGCGTAGAAACAGATGTAGACTAATACATGCATACTAAAAAGGCTTTTTGTGTTTTTGCTTCGAAATGTGCAGTGTCTATGTTTGCAAGCCAGCTGGCATATAGCCTAGATAGGAAATGGATTTCTAGCTTAATGCAGAGTCTCAAGATTGCTCACATAATTCCTTCTCACTGCAAACACTACTCACTCTGCTGAAGCATTCTTATTACCAGGACTCGCAAAACCCTCTATCCCATGAATGTAATTGGTTATTTAGATATTTATACATCATTCTGTTTTTATTTGGTTTCTGCAGCCCTAGAAATCCTGCTTGTGACAATTCCCAGGAAGTGATCACAGGTTGCACAGTATAGACCCTATAATTTGTAAAAGATGTCTGACTGTGAATTATATGTTCCTCATTCAAATTATAGATAAGGCTAATTGCTGCAGTGTCACGAACAAAATGCACAGCCATGTCACACCTCGGATTGTTGACATAGTGTAAAAGCATGTGGCGTTATACAGTAGATATGGAAGCTATGAATCCAGTGTTTTGTTAAAGAAAATGAAAAGAGAAAATCCCTGAGTTCTTTAGACAGCCACAAGTAATTCATGTCCCCAGTTTGACTTTTGTAAAAAGCAAACTTCTCTCCCTACCAAGGACAATCAACTTTTTTACAGCATCATTCTATGATTTAGTCAGTGCTGATTGTAAAGTATCTTACATAATTTCTTTACTTTCCTTAAAGATAATTGCTCTTATATTTTGGTAAGAAGGAACTTGGAATTGAATGCAACATTAGGCACCCCAGTGGTTTTATTGCATGGTATCTATCTATACAAACAGCACAAATTCTTGGACTTCTTTGTTTGAGAATATTTGTGTTATTTATTCAAGAAATCATGCTGTCTTGAGCATATACATTTAATTATATCTTCATTTTATGTATAAAAGGCAACCTTCAAAGTTTTCACTTAACTAGGCTATAACTGAAAACACACTCAACATGGTTATAGAGGACATTACTTTGGTAGCAAAACTTTCATTCCTAAAAATATAACAAGATGTATTGGTTTAGGCAAATGGAAAGTGTCACTTTCTATCCTTTTAAGGCTTCCATGACAGATTAAGGTTTCATTAGCCTTTGAATAGACCGGTCTTTTGTTTTGCTGTGTTGGGGATCTGTAAAATAGACATCCTTCTCTAACGAGCCACAGACTCTGACAAAAGTAAAAACATTTTTCTTGCTCAAGCATTCATGTGGGGAACGGGGGTAAGAAAATAAATAGAAATGTCATTTGGTTTGGAAAGCGCTTATTAGTTAAAAACTATTATTTTTGTTTCCATCGGCAGTTGATATTTTAAAGTACAAATTTCATTGTTTTTATGACCGTGATATTTCTTAGTTGTAATACGTGCAGTTCTGTGTCTGGGCCTCTTTGAACCTCTCGAAGAATTCATATTTGCATAGTTTTAGTGAAGTCATCCTGTTGTGCATTTGCTGTTATTGAAAAGAAAAGATGATGGATTCTTCTAGACCAGCTGTTCAGAAGCAGTGGCTGCATACAGGCAGACCAAGAGAGCTTGCTTTAAAGCATGGCTCACTTGGATATATTACTGGTGAAAAAATTAAATTAAAATAAGTTTAAAAACCTCTCTGTGTCTCCTTCAGTGACAGAATTTTCTTTCTTGTTGTTTTTCGGTCATTTTGTCCAAGCCAGCTGTTTGTGTCAATGCTACTTCACATGTAATGTTAGCTTTTTAGTTCTTCTGCCAAATTATACCTTAAATATTATATCTTCTTTCTTCTTTGTTGATGCAGTTCAAATTTCCACTTCCTAAAGCTAGTCTTTTTGTTATGTCATATTCTGAAATATCAAAGTGATTTTTTAAAGACAATCTTAATCCTTGATTTACACTTGGTTAACTTTAATCTGCAGTTGGTTAATCCCAGGTCTAAATTGGTTTTAAACATAGTTAGACACTGCCTTTTAGTGTAATTTGACACTATCATTTCCAAACGGTTTTAAAAGCATGCTCCAATCTGTATTAAAAGCATGATTTAATGAGTTTATGTGTTTCGGTTTCAGCAAGGAAAATCATGGAGCTTTTTAATCAGTAATTACAAAGTGGATTTAAATTTCAATTTGGACTAAATCATATTTTGGTCCTCGTTGAGAGCACAAACTAATAATGTTTTAAAAACATTATTTTCTACAGTGTCCATTACAACTGATTATTTTTCTTCTATGTTCCAGCTATGCAAAGGGAGATTTGGATATTTCCTACATCACTTCAAGAATTGCAGGTAGGACATGCAATCATTTATCTGGTCTATATTCATTAGCAAACTTTTACTAGTGGGTTGTTTGCCCACATTCACAAAACATGATTATATGAAAATCTGTATGGAGTTTTTAAAATGTCTTTTCCTTTTTATCATACTATATGTGGAAGGTAAAATTAGGAGTGTTCTGTTGGATTGAATCCCACTTGAAAACAGCTGTGTTTTGTCAGGCAATTTTTACCTTTTTTATTCCTAAATTCTGTTGTTTTCCAAATGTTGTAGATGCCCATAGATACTTTGTTTTTACAGCTTTAATGAAGACTGGAGTGGAGTAGTTTTGAAAGAGTATTCTTTTCACACTTTATTTTGACCTTGTTGTCATGGTTTTCTCTTTAGTGATGTCCTTCCCAGCTGAAGGAGTGGAGTCTGCCATTAAAAACAACATTGAGGATGTGAGGCTTTTCCTGGACTCTAGACACGCAGGCCACTACGCTGTATACAACCTGTCCAAGCGATCCTACCGGCCCTCCAGGTTTCACAACAGGGTAAGCTGCAACAGGATGCAGGAAGGAAGGCATTTATTCATGCTTTGTATCCTGCCCAGAATCTATAATGTAAAAAGGCTCAGTACCACCTTGTAGCCTGTTGTCATCTGATGATGGAAGTTAATCTAGGCTGGGTTCCATCATGAGTGGGACGGAAGACCACCTGGGAACTCTAGTTACCTGCTGCAAATTCTGTTGGTGGACCAGTAGGTGGTGCTCTTCCCTCAGTACTAGAACTTTTAAATGAATACCCCAGTATGGTGGTCAGGTACGCTCGTGTACAAGCTGTCACCATTAGAACACAAGGTGTCTCAAAACATGTCTACATACAGTAGCAGGCCATTAAAGATCCCATACATTTAACATTTTAATTTTTGTTTCTCTATCAAGTCATTCTAGCAATGGCATATACACTGTAATCTAGAATTGCTTGCAAATCTATAATTTACACTTATTTAAGTGTACATTGATTGCAGAGGTAAAATTATAGGGTTCTTTCTCAAATAATAGAGTACTAATGCACTAGCATTATCTTTGGCTAGTGGGATTAGGGTAGCAGTGGTTTTCAGATAGTGTTTATTTAGAAATATCATGGCTATGAAATGCACTTTTCACTGCAAACTATAGTCACCTGCTTGTTGCTGTAGAAATATAAAATGTTGATTTAAGACTTTGTAGTAAAGCCAGAACAAAACACCTGAAGACCAATCATTCATCTGTTTTTTTTTCAGTCCACTTATTCTGTAAGCATAATGTTTTTGCTCATAAAAGCATGAATCAGTCTGGTATAAGGCAACAGTTTTGTCGAAGTTGTTTCTTCAAGAAGAAAGCACAATACCAGTTGTTACAATCCTAACTTGTAAACATCTAGCTTGACTGAATGCAAAGTGACAGCTGGGGTTGTTATTGTGGCTGTCATCAGGTCATGTGATAGCCACCTGTACCATCGTACCAGAAAAATAGAGAATATTACTGTAATAAGTACACTCAATTAGACTCTGCGATTATGAAGAGGTCTCTTTTTTTCCTGTCTTTTAGGTTTCAGAATGTGGCTGGCAAGCAAGACGAGCTCCCAACTTAAAAAACCTATACAGTATCTGCAAGAATATGCACCTCTGGCTCAAACAGGACCAAAGGAATATCTGTATTGTTCACTGTCTGGTAAGTCTGACTCTGTTTACATTATTGATGGGCTATCAACATCAGATTTTGATCAGTCTTGGAATTTTTAATCATTGTTGTGGTGATAAGATTTATATTTTGCTTGGTAATATTTTTTCAACTTTGTGTAATCCATCAAAAGTTTGTTCAGATATTTTATATTTATCACCAGCCACATTTTAGCAGGATTAATGAGGCACTCCACAACAAATAAACGTGTTTACCTCAAAACTGCGGTCAATACATTTGTGTTATAACAAGTTCTTTTCACCTGTTGCTAGTAAAGGGAACCAAAATTGGTTGAAATTGGTCATTCACAGTTTTTGATTATGATAATTCCTTGCCTTTATAGAGTGATTTTCATCCCAAAGGATCCCAAAAATCTTGACATGTAGGAAGGAACCCTAAATGTTTAAGTACTTCATCCACCACTGAAGAGCAGCACCCTTTTGGGTAATATCTGGCAGCCATTAAGTGCCCCGCTACAAGATAAAGTGTTTAGTGAATAATACGAAATTTCTTCCCCCGTCAAATTAAATTGTAAACTTGGGGAGTTTGTGCAAGCCCAAAATAGAACATAGCCCGATCATGTGTTGACATCCCTATACTTCTGATCAGTTCCATCATATCTCTAATGACCACATAGACTTTGGTTCAATGTCTCACCTAAAGAACTGCTCCTCCAATAGCTCGTCATCAGTGACTCTACAAGAGCAGTGGTCTGGAAATTCAAGTCCAATGAGAAGAGTAAGCCCATTAATCCCACTCAACCAAGTTGCTGCCATTCCTTTAACGTCCATCAAAAAGCTGCACATTTTGTTCAGATCTCAGTGCTCTTTCCATCATTATTGAGGGTGTCTTTCAAAGCACAATGTGAAACCTTTTTTTTTCATGCACCTGCAATTTCCTCATGGATAATTGTTGTGTGCGGGATCATCAGCATCACATCTGAATTGTCTTGAAAGATTTTGGTGTCAGCGGTGGGGTGTTCGCATTGCATTTATTGTGGAGGAATGTGATCGGTGTGCCCAAGGGTGATTGTTCTTTATGTATTTGGTATTTTCAGGATGGCAGGGCTGCTTCCGCAGTTGTCGTTTGCTCTTTCCTCTGCTTCTGCCGTCTATTCACCACGGCAGAGGCTGCAGTTTACATGTTCAGCATGAAGCGCTGCCCCCCTGGAATCTGGCCCTCCCACAAAAGGTAAACCAGCATTTCTTCACTAGGAAGTCTATCTGCTGACTAAAAGGCTCATGCTATAGAGTCAGTTTTCAGTTCAGTTTATTTGTCATATGCACAAGTGCGATTAAATGCTTATTTGCATGTGCGCTCCTATACAAGGACATTCAAGGAATCACCAAAAACACAAACACAAAACAATAGCAGCAACAACAATAAGTTAAATAACATATTACTTTAAAAAAGTCGCAGAAGCAGTGTGAGAAAAAAACATCGATGTGAGTCAGTGGTAGGGGTAGAGTTCAGTAACCTGACAGCTTGTGGGAAGAAACTGTTTCTGAATCTGAACTTCTGTGCCTTTATGCTCCTATAAGGCTTACCAGAGGGAAGGGGGGAGAAAAGTGAGAAACCCGAATGACTGTTGTCCTTAGCAATACTTCCAGCCTTCCTGAGATGGCGAATTGTAAAAATGTTCACAGTAGAGGGGAGCTGTATTCCAATGATGGATTGGGCTGACCTGATCACCCCCTGTTACGCCTTCTAGTCAGACAACGGCCAGCTACTAAACCACACTGCAAAACCACACATGAGCACACTTTCAATAGCGTACTGGTAAAGTGTGGTAAGGACAGCTGAAGATGGACAACATTTTTTCAACTGTCTCAGGAAGTAAAGGTGCTGTTGTGCCTTCTTTGTAGCTCCAGTTGATTATTATAGTTGAGTCATATTTGATTACCAGGACCATTATGCTCCAGGACAAGATGAGAACAGGACTGTTCCTACACAGAGTGATATCTGTTAAGAGAAATTGGGAGGAACACCCTTCTTGTTTTCAGACCAGCTTAAACAACTCCCTCAGATGCAAGACATTTTATGTTAAATGTGCTTTATTATATATGTAGTCTCAAAATGTCTGATTTGAGAGAAATATATGTGTCTACCTGCCAATTCTGTTTGGACGCCATCCCTGGGATGTGAAAAACATTTAAACATCATTAAAGCAAAGTTAAGTCGGCCTGTTGCTAAACAAATGGAATGCAGAAACTACTGGGCAGTCCTTAATATAAAGAAAAAAGATTTGTGTACACTGAGTATCTCGACAGTCTTGCCTTCCTTTGGGTACAAGCAAATTCATAATGGCAAGTTGATCTTGATGAGGAGTGGACTAACAAGTCATTAAAGGTTGTATTTGTTATCCATTTTCTCTAAGGAATTTTCCTCTTAGCAAACCCCTGAGCATTATTTTCCCATTCTTTCCCACTTAAAGTAATGGTAATAAAGTCTCTTGACGCTAAATTACAAAATTCATAACATCATAAGTGATTATGCTTGCTTTGCTGATATCTTTATTTACTTGACCTATATTTCAGGAAGAAAACCACGGTATTAAAATGTGTTGTTTCACAGAGCTGTCACTGTTGGTGTTTTGAAGTGTTTTTGCTGTTTCTGACATGACTGCTAAAAGAAAATACCTCTCGGATCCATTGATGTCCCGTCTGCTTTCCACACTCTGCAGATACATCGAGTATATGTGTGACATGATGGCGGAGGAGCCAATTATTCCTCACAGCAAGCCTATCCTCATCAAGTCGATCGTCATGACCCCTGTACCCCTCTTCAACAAGCAGCGCAACGGCTGCCGGCCCTTCTGTGAGGTCTACGTGGGGGACGACCGGGTAGTCACTACCTCCCAGGAATATGACAGAATGAAGTAAGAGCTGGAAATTTAAGGAAAAATGTTACGTTTTCAGCACAGTTTTAAATCCTGGTTTTGCGTAGTTTTTCATAGTGATCGCAGCTCCTTACTTGTAAACTGTTTATTTAGATTGCAGCTCTACCAAGATTTTAATGCTGCAAATAAATTGGACATGTGCAGAATTTAATCAGAGGCAAATACAAGGTATGAGATTGATAAACAGTGCCTACTCATGTGGAAGCACTGCTCCAAATATATTTTTAGTCGTATCAGTGAAGTTACCTTCTGTCCATGCGTGATGGTATAGCTGTTTTTAACCTGAATGAGTGCTTTCAATGATCAGAGTTGTGCTGAAAATAATAATCGGCAGTAATAATTTCTGTGCTCCTTGTTCTTTTTTTTTCTACCTAAGTGTAGCAATTATTAGGCTAAAATTACTGTCAAGTTCGTTTATGTGTTTCTCATCCAGGGCATTGAGATGCATATTCTTTGATGATAGGAACTTGCATCATACTCTGTCAGAATGTGAATGAACAGACATCTTAAATGTCACTTTTCCCTGTGTAGGGACTTTAGAACAGAGGATGGAAAGGCAGAAATACCTCTCGACATCACTGTCCAAGGAGATGTCCTCATTGTTATCTATCATGCCAGATCCACTTTGGGAGGCAGACTGCAGGCTAAGGTAAGGAGAACACAAAAAACGCGTTTGTGAAATTCTTTGTTGCTTCTTGGCCTTTGTTTGTCACCCTAACAAAATGCAGAGAAAATAGAAGCACATAAACTATTTTACTGTTCAGTTGAGAAATGGAAAAGTAATTTTCATTCATATATTTTTGCAATAAAAAATGGATGTCATTGACCTGCCTTTTTCTTTATTTGTTCATTAGATGGCTTCAATGAAGATGTTCCAGATTCAGTTTCACACAGGGTTTGTGCCCAGAAATGCGACCACTGTCAAATTTGCAAAGTAGGTGTTTCCCTTTTACTTAATTTTCCCTTTCTCTAAATGTCATACAATCTTATAAACTTACCAGGGAACCTTTAGTTTAAATCTTTCAGAGCAAGGCCTAATTATTACAAGGGCATGTGTTGTGCTTTATTTATCTTACAAGGAAACTGTGGTTATAGTGTTTTAAAAAAACAAAACAAGCATTTGCTATGCTTCATGGGGCTGAGAACGTTAATTAGCTTTAACCATTTGGCAATCATCTAAACTGATTTCTAATTTCAATCCCAAAATTACTGTCAATGATCTCTTACAGTGAGTGATTCCCACACAAGCTTATTTTTTGGAATCTGATGCCATTGAAAGTGATACATTCCTGTCTTCTCTGTCCTACCCTTCAGATATGACCTGGATGCCTGTGATATCCAAGAGAAGTACCCAGACCTTTTCCAGGTCAACCTGGAAGTGGAGGTGGAACCCAGGGATCGACCATGCAGCAAGACTCCACCCTGGGAGAACTTTGCTACCAAGGGCCTCAATCCCAAGATCCTTTTCTCTAGCAGGGAAGAGCAGCAGGAGATCCTGACCAAATTTGGTGAGTTACCATAGCAACAACTGAAGCATTTGAACCAAATACCCAAGTGCTGATGAGAGAATTAATTATATAGGTAGGCAGGAAAGTGCCAGGAAATTAAATCAAATCAAAACATCTCATGTGGAGCTGACAGATTGATCCTGGTGAAGATTTTAAAATCAACCTTGAAATAATATCATATACATTGATAGATTATATGCTATTGGGTAGTGAATAAATAGGTGAATTAGGTTCTTGTGCTAAAGATTGACAGCTGTCTTTATTAACTTAATTTAAATATTAAATATTAAATACATTAATATACCACTATGACTAAGATATAATTCTGATGAGGTCAAAACGTTGTGAAATTAACATGTACAGGATTGATTTACTTTTCAACAAAAAGCAGTATGTGGACCAATATGTTTAACACAAACAATGAATTGTTTTGGTGACATGCAAGAACAAAACACCTTCAAAAATCATATATCCGATTTACAGGTTGATGAGTTATCAAGTGAATAAATACACATTCCATTGAAAATGTATGTTTTTACAAGCAGCCTACGTTTTGCTTTTCCCAGATGAGCATTTGCATTTTTGACACTGAAAAGCACAGGATGCAAGAAAAATCACTGGCATCACATTCTTTGAAGAACGTTTTGAAATGTTTCTTCATCCTGCATTTTGTGTTATAGAGCTTGAGACTCTGCTACAGTATTTATTTTAATGACGCAGTATGTCAGCAGTTTCTTTCAAAGTACATCAGTGGCTGTCGGTCTGTATCTTATCCTAGTGCTAATCATTATACTGTTGTGTTAAGAATCAAGGTAATATTTAAGTCCTGTACAGTAAATGAGTACATGTAAGAACTGTAGGTGTTCAGAGTTAGGGAAGAAGAATTCCCCTGAAACAGAACCTGCCTGGTTGGATGAACTAGGATACAATAACACAATAATTCAAAAGGCTGATTGTCATTTTTATAATCAGGACAATATTTCTGAAAGGTATTTTCATTAAATTGAATTTACTGTTGTTTATAATACAATGTAAAAAAAGAGGATTGTTAAATGAATAATAATTAATAATAATTTTTAATTTGTTCTTTTACCATGGGGGCACAAGATCTAACAATTCCAATTTTTTGTAAATTCAAATAATTTGCTAATTAGTTTTGTACTGAAGCCCTAAATAAACATGGTCTATTGTCTCTGTAGATTTGTGTTAAGGTTATGCTGCTTCTACAATGAACTTACTGTGCAGAAAGTATTGCCCTTCCTTCCTTGACCTCTTCTCTCTTTTCATAATTAGTGAAGGACCTTTTCACAGTACACTGAACAGTATGATTTATTCATGACCAGCAAGTAAACAACTGCTGACTTCAGTTGCTGCTGACTTCAGGTACAAAGTGCTTTGAGAATGTGTCCTGTTCATGTCTGCTCTCTACCAGGCAAACCTGAGCTCCCCAGGCAACCTGGATCCACAGCCTTTTATGATGCAGAAGCAGCCAGGTCAGACCAACCCCAGGATGGCTCCAATACTGAACCAGAGTCGCCGCAGAGCACCGACACTAATGCCAATAACTTCTTCCAGACACTCGAATGGGATGGTGAGTGAGAGTTGCTTTTGTACTGGGCTGAGTCGCCTCTCCAAGGTTCAGTAAACACACGGGGCTGACTGCTGGCTGAGCAATTCCAGTACTTGTATTGCCTTGGCGGACAGGTGGAGTTTGCAAATTAAATGGCTAGCTTTTAGTAACAAGTTGACTTTGATTTCAGTGAAACGTAGAAGAGCAACAGGTTTGTTAACCCCAGTCCCTGGTAAATAATTAAATAATAGTTTTACTATACATAATCTGTTCAACATTAATCGTAGAGAACTTGTGAAAAAAAGTGATTAAGAATAATTATGCTGCATTCTCTCGATTGTTTGAGAGAGAGTGGAACAAAATCAGGACACTGAAAAATGGACTTAGCCGCTGGCTTTGTTTGTAAGTACAGTTAGCCATGTCACAGCCAAAGCCACAAATCAGGTGTATAAGGGAAGTTACAAGAACACTCCTTCCTGTTTCAGATGGGAGAGGACGACAGGATGTGCCTGATGGACAAGCCGTCCCTGACATGGTGGAAGATCTAGATGACATTAGCGAGCCCTCGGAGGATGAGTACCCCCCTTTCTCTGGACACATTGGGGATCCCAGGGGGGAGGAAGGGGAGGTCCCCTCGAGAGAGAACAGCCAGGCCCTCTTTGAGGTGGATTTCCACAAGCCTTCCCAGGATACCCTATCGGAGGACAGCGTGGATCTGCTGGGGCTCAACACAGACCCCCAGCTGGAAGCACCCACTGCTCCAGCCCCCCCGAGTGGGGGTATGAAGAACTCCTCCAGCAATGCCGACCTCCTCAATGACCTTTTTGCCCCCACCAACATCCCCTTAGCGCCCAGTGCACAAGGAAGCACTGAGGATCTGATTGGAGTAGACAAGGACGGGGATTTGTTCTTCAGCGCTCCCACTAGTAACACACAGGGTCCACTGCCAGCTACCACAGCGCCACAGGCCCCTCAAAGTAAGGGAGAGCATTTTATCTTCTAAACCATTTCCATATGTCTCCATTAGCAACCAAGTGCTACAAGCTGTTCCTCATTGTCTGTTGACAAGTGTTTCTCTCAAATTAAATTGTTCCAAAATTAATTCCACGGGCTGGTGCTGAAATTTTCTCCCTCAAGGAGCTTTGTAGCTTTCACATGGGAGAATGGCATTGCCCTTACCTCCTTGACCGGGTTGTCAGAAGTGACACATCCCTACTGCTGAAATTCCCTTATCTTGGAAATGACTGTATTTAAATAAGGAGGCTTTTTAAAGTTGGATCTTGTGTTCAGAAAAACACTTTAGGGGTTGTTCCCAAAAACAAATGGACTATCCATATCACCCCCATTAAAATACAGTGACAGCCTTTTTATCTCAGTCATAAAGCCACCATAACATGATGGTCATGCCATGTTATACTCACAGTTTCTAAAAGTGACAGAGAATTAGTCAGTTGCAACTTCAGTGTTTCCACGTGCGACGATGGAGCTGGCTGTTAATGGTGATATGTTAATGAATTCAAATTATTGTGACAGAAAGGCAAAGGAAGTTTCTGTCAATATTGTATCCTTAGGGAGGGGAGGGGCTAATTAGGATAATAAAAATTATCCTAAGAGAGGGACATCTGTAAAAGTGATTAATTGTACTACAGGCATGAGTTTGAAAGTTTGAGTGGTGTTGTGGGTTAATACCTTTGGTAGGGCACTGTGGTTTTACTTTTTAGCATGGTGCTTCACCAGAATTGTGCCAGTAAGTTTGCCAGATTTATGGACAAATATAAATGAAATTTTTGCCATTTTTGGAAAAAGCATCAGACAAAAAAAATGAGTAACTTATGCAGTTGTTTACAATTCACTGTTTTCCCAAAGTTTGTAAAACGTGAGTGAAACGGACATTAATATTGGAGTTCCATGATTATGTTTGTTCACTGTGAGGGCATATAGGAAATTATCGCTGTCTTGCCATTTTGTTTATGGAATGCACAACCAAAAAAAAGGTTGTGTAAAACAAATGGCAGTGTTATGATCTGATTGAGGTCATTTCATAAAAAAGAAATAGATGTGCAGTACAGTAACACTATTGTGTTTTTGTACCAAAAAAATGGAATTGGTGTTTTACTGAACCAAAGAGCCTTTTCTGTCATTGGCATTTTCTTTTTTTTTTTAGATAAACCCAAAATTAGCCGAAATTTTTAATGTTATTGTAAATTAGAAGACATTTGGACATGGAAGTCGTTAGGACGTATTCATTCTTGGCATTTTGGGAAATTAGTGACCTGTCATTTGGAACTGTTTCATCTTTGTCTTTAGACTTCGATATTATTTATGTGGTTCCAGCTCTGTTTCTCACAGGCATTTTTAAATTGTTTAACACACCCTGGCTGTTTACTGTCACCACAGCCACCGACCCCTTCGATCCATTTCGGATCAGCTCCTCAGGGACGTCCTCTTCCACAGTACAGCAGCCAGGCCCCGACCTCTTCGGAGACTTCCTGAATGCTGAGGGAACTTCCAGCAGTTTCCTGGGCAACCACCCAGGCCCGCCCCCCTCCTCCAGCTCAGGCTTCTTCAACCTCAGTAGGCCACCATCTAACATTAAAATACCCACCAGTTCGATCACTGAAAGAACATTCCCATAAGCTTTATAAGGCAAAGCTGACTTAAGATTGTTGTGGTTTGTGTGATTCACTGTAGTGAATGGAATTAGGATGGAACTAATCAATTTTAATTTGGTTTATATAAGGATGAGATAGAGTTTCATAGGTTTAATGGCTTTTCAGTTTTGTGACACAGTTTATCAGCTTTCCTCTTTGTAGGCAATTTCTCCAAATTGTCTTATGCCACCAGTACAATGATATTTTTAATGAAAGCCCTTTTTGTGCATTTTTTTAACCGAACTCTGTTTTTTCTGAAGACAATTTGTCGTCTGATTCCTCAAAAATGGCGTCGTCTGCCAGCCAGCCTGACCTGCTGGGAGGCTGGGAAGCTTGGGCCTCTAATTCCAGTAGCAGCAGTAGGATTCCTTCCTCAAGCAGCAAACCTGCATTCACAGGTGTGGATAGATTACAGTGATCTAAACACCTCCTGCTAGCTTCCCAGTGGGTCTTAAGGGGGGGATGCAGGGAATTTGGTATGTTTTAGTGATTCACAATATCAAAAGTTATCGTGAAAGCTGTTATCATCTATGATAATGTTATGGAAAGGGGGATGGCTGAGTTTCAGCAACCTTACCAAATATAATATTGATGTATAACAGTAAAATAGTGCACAAGAAATTTGGAAAGTTAACTCTTTTGTTTACAGTGATGTCTTGCTTCTTTGAACAGTGGTACATAAACCCTTGTAACTACAGTACAAATAAATATAAAACTAAATGGGTTAGCGAATAGAATTGGGGTATTCCAAAGTGGAGATTAAATTAGGAATGTAGCCACTGAATATCACTTTTCTGGCTTAATCTAATTTGTTAGTTTGATTTATCTCACTTATAGCTCCTACATCCGGTGTCTCTTCTGGCTCCTCCTTCGTTCAGCCCAAGTCTCAGAGCTTTGATCCCTTTGCAGACCTGGGTAATCTTGGCGCCACACTTCCAGGTAATGGTAGTGGTTTTGAGACTTGCGCAAAAACATCCAAATCCAGAAAGACTCCATAATACTCCATAAATCTCATAAAATATCAGATAATATTCGGAGCTCTCATATAAACCAAATGCTTATTACTGAAATATATGGATATGTTGCTTTTGCTTAAGATTAAGAATAATGGTAGTGCACCAAACTGCAAAGCTCATTTCCTTCCATGCTACATTCATGAGCGTGAAAAGTTAGCTGCCTATATACTGGATACCAAACTCCAGACCTCTATATGTGGATATACTGATTGATTTAAATATTCCTAGTAAATAATGCATAATTAGGCTACTGAGTGTTAATATGCAGCAAATATCTTCCATATCTGTAAGTGCTGTGTCTGCAATTGCTAGGGATGCTAAAATCTAAAAGATACTTTTCAGATTTATGTATACAGAAACTACAAACGGGAGTTTGCATTCTCTAAGCAGGCAATAGACATGAAAAAATTTGTAATACAGAACCAATTATTGTATGTTGCTGCTGTTTCCTCTCCCAATCTTGTCATAAAAAGCTTGTTTCAACCTGTTACAACCTTACATCAGCTGTGTTAAATAATGACTGGTACAGTGAGGATCCTGGGAAAAGGCTACCAATAGGTTAACACATGGCTTCTCCAACTGTCAGGTCATTGTGTGCCAGGTTAGGTTAATGTGCATCTCGGGACAGAGTGGACAGCTAGTTGTAAAGAAAAAAGGTTTTCTGAACGTCAGTGTGTTCTACTAATCCGTTTCTCCTTTGGAATGGCACACCACACAGTGAAAATGGCATACCACCAGTTGACATCCTGAATTTTAAGGACTGTCTTCTGTCCCGTTTCTAGGATCTGCAAGCAGTGGGTTTACAGCCACCGGTTTCAACCAAAAGGTGAACCAGCCGCCCAAAGCTGCGAATCAGTGGCAGGCAGGCCACCCTGCGACAGCAGGCAAGCCCTGGACACAGCAGCCCCCCAAGTCGCAGCCCCCCAAGCCCGCTGCCCAGCCCAAGCCCAACTACAACCTCAACTTCAGTGTAATTGGTGGCCGAGAGGAAAGGGGAATTAGAGGGCCCGGATTTGGTGAGGAGCTTACAGTGGTTTCAGATACACAAAGACAGAACAGTGTTTTACATAAAATGTAGTAATGTGGGTTTTACTACAGCTGGAACTCTAGAGATTTCCTCACTTTAAATTTAGATGCAGTCAGTGACAGAGACAAAAAAGAGCAGACAAAAGAGATGACTTGGCTTTTATTATCTCTCTTCATCAGTAAGAGTGGTTCCAAACAGGGTCTGTAAAACTTACAGATGTCATTAAGTACATATAGCATGATGATTCATGACTAATTTTGCTAGAAGCACTCTAGGATAGAAATAATATCATGAAAGGTAATAAAAAAAAATCACATCTAAAAAAAATCTAGGATAAAGCAACAATTTATTTGGTTGCTTTTAGCTGAAGGTTTGTATTGGGCTTTGGAAGAAGGTGGACACGCTTCTTATTTGAGCACTTTTTTAAAAATGGGACAATTAATTTTCTGGATTTTAAAGGACTGGGACTATGTGAAACAGAGTAGTGCTTTGAAAATCTACCATTTTTACCAAAAGATGCCTTTTGTCATTAATATCTGTTTCTTGATTGGTTTGATGTTTTGAACAGGAGTGTCTTAAGTTATCTTTCTGAACTGTGTTCAATTGGTTTTGTTAATAACATCATGCATCAGGGTAGTAACGACGTAACCCAAAGCAGGCCCAAACTCTGGAAATTAATTTATCAGCATTTCCATGACAAAAGCTGTCAGGTTTATTGTTTTTTTTTTCTGTTTTCACAGGTCCCAAGCCAAAGGTGAGGGAGGATGACTTTGAGGACCTCTTGTCCAAGCAGGGTTTTGCCACCAAAATGGAGAAGAAAGGACCGAAGACCATCGCCGAGATGAGGAAACAAGACATGGCAAAAGACATGGACCCTCAGAAACTAAAGGTCGTCATCATTGGCTAGTTTTTTGTTCAGAGCGCGTGAGATGAATTGAAACCTTCACTGGGTTTAGAAATAGAGCTAGTCATGCTGGTAATATTACGTCCTCTGATAATAACAATTATACTTATAATAATTGATAGGTACATGTATATTTCCCTTAGCAGGTAATTCAATTCTTGAATTCTATCTCATTTCAAAGCAGTGTCTTTTATAAGACATTTTGCTTTTTGATTTTTACAACATTCTTTTCTGATATACTCTCCGAAGTCTTCAGCTTATGAAAGCTGAAACATTTGGCATCATCAGTGTTCCTTTCCCATGAAAATGTTTCAGCTTCTTAAAAATCTGAAAAACTGTTGAATTGGCTTGAACAGCTTGTGCTGTGCTGTGCGGTTGTGTCAGGTTTGTGTGGAAGCCTTGGACCCTGCACCCACTGAGGCAGACTTTGAGAAGCTTTTGAGTTGTTGCATTGCCCATCTTAAATGGAAATGTCTATATGCAGTGGTACATATTGCCTTCCTAATGTACTGCGTGTGCATTACCCTGCAGATTTCAACATATTCTGATAAGTTCCTCATCAAATCAGAAACAGAGTGATGTTTTTTTTGAGCTAGGAATTTTTTTTCTCCATTTTATCAGTGAATTATAATTTAATTTGTAATATAAAAGTCCCCTAATTTGTGTTTTAAGTTCATATTGGCTCCGTTTTTTCAAATACAGTCATCTGACACAAAAGCACTGTGTGTAGTGAGGTGTACCATACCTCCAATGTCTTATCTATCTTATTCGCATCTTAAACTCAGTTGCAGTACTTGAAAAATTAACAGCTCTCTTTATCTGTAGAGAAGTCACGATTTTAAGATTGACTTCCTCGGAATTTGGTCTAAAAGGAGGAAACCGCTCTAGGGGTTTTATGTTAGGAAGAACCTGTTATATGTGCTGCCGGTGATCTGGCAGTGACAGTGTTGGGCTCCGGCCTTGCAGATCCTGGAGTGGATCGAGGGGAAGGAAAGGAACATCCGAGCGCTGCTGTCCACGCTGCACACTGTCCTGTGGGAGGGGGAGTCCAGGTGGAGGCGAGTTGGCATGGCAGATCTAGTGACCCCAGATCAAGTCAAGAAGTATTACAGAAAGGCGGTGCTCGTGGTGCATCCTGACAAGGTAAATAGATCGGGTGTACATTTATTCCAGCAGCAACTTTAGCTGTACAAAATTAGCCAAAGTTTCTTGGCGTTTTTTTTTTAATATGCATCTGTTAGGGGGGTCAGACCAAGGTTTTGTTAAGTGACGTTTAGTAAAAAAAAAAGATCTCATTATTGCAGTTTTAAATGTAATAAGATGATGGTTATTAATAACAACAATAGCAATAATTTCAAAAGCAGTTTTCCAAGACCCAAAGGTGCTGTACGTAGTGATAAAGAAAAATGCAATAAAAAAATAAACAAGAGCATGCAGGTTTATATAAATAGAATGTAGGCCCTGGTGAGGTGAATTTTGAGTTTAGATTTCGGGAGAGTCAAAGAATGTCTCTCTCATTGGATCCGAAGAATTGCATTCCTAACAGCGAAGCAGTGACAGAAAAGGCATGGTCACCAAAAGTGTGAGATTTAGTCTTGGGTATAGTGGGCAAAGAACTGGCCTCAACTTTTTAAAGTGACATTTATTAAAAACAAACTATGTCGATACAGTTTAACCCTTTTCTGTAAAAACAAAAATAGCATTGAAAACTTTTAAAGTTTCATCAGCGTGAACTGAGGCACCTGACAAGAGAACTGCAATCCTCCATGTGAGAGACTACAAATCTTGATGAAAATTGCCAAGTCAAAAGGGCTTTTAGGACAGAGTGGACAAGGAATACATAAATGTAGTAGGGCTCCGTTGCGCATCCTGTGTAGGCCATTACAGAATGAGAAGTCATAGTTTGGCGGACAGAGATAGATCTATTTCAGTAGTCTTTATATCTGCAGTCCTTTATGTAACATTTTATGTTAAAAATAAAGTGTAAAACTCAACAAAACTATATTTCCGTCACAGTTTGCTGAGCATCGATTGCTTGGTTGTTAGTTAAAAGTTAACACAATGAAGTCACCCTACAGTAAAGTGCTGCTTTGAGGCTTCATAAGGTTCTAGCCTAGGAGTAAATGGAAAGGGATACAAAAGTTTTATTGAATTTAGTGGTGTGTAAGCCAGTTTAGAGATAATAAACACAGAAACTCTTTACTTCCACATACACCAAATTGTCATGATAAAAATGCATTTCTGATGCCCTTTTGTATTTTACAAATAAAGGTAATTAATGGTTACAAACTGCATTGTAGTTCAATTAATTGTGCTTGAATTAAATTATTTCAGGCAGCAGTGCAATGCTGACGAACAGTTTTGTGCTCACTTTCAGGCTACTGGACAGTCCTATGAAGACTACGCCAAAATGATCTTCATGGAGCTGAATGACGCCTGGTCAGAGTTTGAGAACCAGGGCTCGAAAGCTCTCTTCTGAAACGGAGGAGCATTGCTCGTGACCGTGTCTCATAGTTCTGCATCTCTGTGTTTTTGTGTGATCAGGAAAAAGCAGATATTTTCAATTTTTCATGAAAGAAAGCCACTGGGCAGACTGTTTATGACCAGGTGGCTTGAGGCTCATACAGGTTCAGACAATCATTCAAGAAAATGGTTCCATCTTTCACATGTCCGACCATGTCGTCTTGAAAAACAGTTGCTAATGCAACTGCAATATTTAACATACACAGGACAAGTGCATAAATATTGTGTTTAAATTCCATTAAATTGTAATTGGAATTTGTTCTACTTCTTAAATATGCATAGCAAACTCTTAAATGGACTCATCTAATATTTGTATCACATAGCTGGTGGTTCATGGATAAGGACTGTAATGCACGTGTGTGCATTACTGTTGTAGTTAAAAGGCTGAAAACGAAAAATCTTGTAACAAATGATGTCACCATGAATTTTGCAATATGGATGTGTGCAAAATAGCGATTGTTTTGGAGATGTATAAGTAATAATTTTATGTTACCATAGAATAATGTAAAATATTGTGTTAATAATGTGATTTATTAAGATCTGATTGCTGCTGAGCTGCAAACTCCTTGACAAAGGTTTTAGGATCTTCACCATCATTTTTGCTAGTAGTTATATCATGCCTTTATCTTTCATGTGGTTCAGCGTTTATTTCATATTGCGTTTTCCTCAGTATGGATGTGGGAGGAAGCCACAAAATATTCTTACTTCACCTTTAAAGAAAGTGCAGTATCCCACAGCCTTTAAAGTGCTTTCTTCACCTTTTTTAATTCATGGACCAATTAATTTTCTATTTTCTATTTTTTATTTATTTTGTTACACTTTAATGTACAAGACATTAAAAGAAAAAAAATAAATATTATGTGGATTGAATGTCTGTATGTAAAACTGCTCATGAGCCAGTACCTCTGGTGTAGAAATCATTCCAAAGGAACATTAACGTGAATGTGGTTGCTTAGGTCATTGCAGGTTACAGCAACATAGACATACATTATTTTCCCCTATGAAAAATATATTCTTGTATTCAAAAGGAGTTTTGCTGCAGTTACATTTTGAAATGAAAATGAAGTTCTGTACCTAGTTGCATTTAAAAATTCTGCATCTGATCATCAGAAATTGACACTTTTATTTTCATTGGACTTACTAGAATGAAATCTTCTAGTGACCACAAAATAACCTAAAGATGAAGAAGTGATGTACTACTGACAGTATGAGTATTCCAGCAAGGTACCATTTTTAACTCTGCAAAATTATTTTCTAATATAATGTGTGGCACTTCAGAAATTTGGGAAAATCATTATGAACCGAAAAATTAGTCAAAGTGAAGTGCCCTTAATATTCTTGTATAAAACTTTTATAAAACCCAATAATTCTAAAACTTAATAACCCTCTTAATTATAAGATTGTGACAGTGGTCTTTATAGCCACTATTTATTTTTCCATTTGTTTATAAAATCATTCAAATAGAAATACATATTTGGAGGAAATAAAAACTAAGTATAGCAATTTTACTTTTTTGTCACGTACAATTGTTTCTTCTTGTCAGACAAGTGCACAAACGGTAATAAGCAATTCTCCAAACTGGTATAACTTTCTCAGCTTTATAGTTTTTTTTATTTTTCTGTTACAGTTGGATTTATAACTCATAAATTTAATTGTTGTAAATAGGAGTCTTGTGTCCCCTACCCTATGTAAACTGTTGCTTACAGAGGCAAAAAAAGATTTACAAAAATCTCACTTCACCAAATAAAATTATATGAATGTCACTTCTAAAAAACTCATCACTGCACTTGTTCTTGGTCACAGTTAGTGTCCCTGATTTCATTTTAAAAATGTATTGAAGCCAGTTTTTACCAATCCCTTAGCAAGCTACTTGCTGCATGTTGGTGATGTGAGTTTGTGTACAAAAGTATTGTAAAGCAAAAAAAAGTATTGTCAAAATAAAGGGAAAGGGTTTTTTGTTTTGGTAAGTGTTAAGACTGTCACTATGGGCATTATTGGCTAGGATTGCTGGTTTTGTACTGTTTTGTCTCTATCATACAAAACTGGGCAGCTTGAGGAAAATACAATGAAGTCAAGAAAAAATATATTTCTACAACATTAATGTGTATAATCATACACCTAACAATCAATCATTAAACCTGTACCATCTCATGTTGATATAAATGAAATGTTACAAAAATAATCTCCTTAAAAGGATCAGTAATTATTACAACTGAAGAAGATGAAAAGGGCAATCTATTTTGACTATCTGAACATTTCCAACTGTAGGCCCACATGATTTTTTGGAATTCCTTAAGCTTAATACTAAACATAACTGTTTAGCTGCTATTTGGATAACAGAGACTATAGGCTTGTAGAAATATCCATACCAGCCTCTGACATATGTATATATAGTACAAGAGCTGTAAAGATGCATTTTACAAGAAAGTTCACTTCATTACAGCACTTTATTTCAAACTAGGACAGTACCAGTAAATTATTCAGACAAACTTAAATTCCCCAGCTATGTTCTAGGCCTGCTGACAGCATTTAACTACATAGGTAACACTTCATATAGCCTTTTGTTTTAAATTACGTCGTTAAAGGGTAACATTTAAAAAATACATATGCGAATCAAAACCGCTTTGGTTCTTTAGAGGAGTAGTTCTCAACCTTTCTGAGAGTTCAGACCCTCTTTGATTTCCAAACCTTTTGCAGACCATCATGTGCTACTAAATGTTTTTACTCTTGTGTTATATGGAAATGTAATGTAACAACTAATCTGTGCTCTGCAAACACCTTTAATTTTGAAAACTATTCATTGCTTGAAGGTATGTACCTTGAGTAACATAATGAGATGGTGGTCCTGTCTCTAACTTCAAAGATGGGATGTCAGTCTTGAGTGATGACAGTTTTCTCCTTAAAGTTGATTCCACATCACGTTTTTCTTTATCACAGACAAACAAGGAGGGGGCAAACCAAAGACTGGGAACTGCTGCTTTAGAGTATGCCAGTTTATACTTGCTGCCCTTTCAGTAGAAAATACCCTCTCAGAAATAATTGTTGCTATATATTTACCTTCAGCACAGCCTTATTGTTTTTATTTTAATAGGACATTTATAGGAATAGTGTATATGAAGTGTAAGATTAGATTAATTACTAGACAGTGTTAAGAATGGACTTCCATGTGCTATCATCCTCAAAGCAATTGTTTATTTTCATTTGTTATCTATATGAATGGGATGTCTCTGCCTCACATATCCAAATTGGCTTTGATAATTTGGTGGAGAAACAATGCGATAGCCGTATGTACTTCTTACAGACAGTAATTATATTTTTAAATGACCTTTTTCTGTTTTGAGTATGAAGGGACTAATAACAAACCTCAGTTTTTTGGTCATGCCTTCTAAAGGTGTGAAATAGTTTTTAATAAAACGAGATTAGTACAGTATGTGGTAATTCTCTATAAATAAGTGTGTATATACTGGTAAATGATTTCAAGTATCTTATGATATGGAAGATTCTCTGCCAATCTTGTACAAGATTTATGACCAATAAAATGCAATTGGAAAACAATGATTTTACTGTACCTTTTTTACATTTTGTACCACCCCTTGTGCCCCATTTATGCCTCACCAAACGAACACGAGGGGTTAAATACCTTTACCCCATGTTTAAGCTTTCTGTGTGTTGCTAGTTCATGTCTCAGATTATTCAGAATAGATTTCACTCACTCTGTTATAGACAAGAGGGTGCTTAGGTACTTTTCTGTTACGTAATAACATTTTTTCTGGTATCTTTACATTGGTCAAACAGGGATTGATTTTATCTTTTGCACATTCATGAGATTACGTTTGACTCCATTTTACCTAAAACACTGAATTTCTAGTGGCATGTTTTTGTGTTCCTGTGATCTATGGACTCTCCACTCCAACGTATACCACATAGCAGACTTTGCTCTGTGGGTAATAGGGCATTCGGCTATTTTGCTACAGGTTTGTGAATTATTCAGAAAGGTTAATGCAAGATCAAGAGAACCTTTGCATTTCTTAATGATACCTAAAAATTGCTCTCTTCATTGTATTTTGTGTAAATATATTTGATGTCACTTAATTGCACATGATTGAAAGAAACACCAGTGAAGATCCTTTTTAATTAGCAACTTATTAAGCAGGACAGAGGAAATGATAAACACGTTCAGTAGCCTTATCAGGTGTAACACGGGTGACTTACTGTAAAAGCATTACAGCTCAGTACATTCACTGAACTCTGAACACCTGTTTTCACAACTACAGTCAGCTTGCCAGGCAAAGTGAATTTGGCTCCATTGTGCCAAGTGAAAGTTCAATTCATTGATGGCCCCAAGACCTCCGTACCTCTCCCTCTCCATAGAAAACACACTTTTACGACATATACAATAATGCATTAGAATTGTTAAATGATAATGTAATCATGTTGTTTTCAAAAAATGTTTTTGAACAACTGTTCACTTATAGTTGAGTACAATAATTTTTCCCCTTCAAACTATGTTACTACATTTATTAAATAAATTATTTTTATGTAGCTTATAGTTCAGTATTGTAGGTGACTTGGGAAATGTATTCGACTCAAAAAATAAAGCTAACATTGCTCACATATAGTATAGGTCAATACATTTCTGACTTTCTGTGGCCTCAGAAGAGACAAACAGCACATCTCCATCATTTCACTCAGATTGCGCAGTGGACTTTCATCACTGACCACAGACATTTTATAGCAAATAAAGGACATAACGTATATCTAGGTATATCATGTGTTATAATATTTCCGTTAAATTAAAATTTACTAACAGCTACCAAGTTTTGTAATTTAAAATACTTTACCTAAACAGCAAACATAGTTGTATACGTCTTTTACTAAACTCTTTATTACTAAATTTTTAGGAATCTTCGTGACATCCAATATAACGAGCAATGTAATCTATAATCAACTAGCCTATTCAGTATTCAGATGGCGCTACTTAAGTATTTTTGCAAGTAATTACAAAGAATCTCCCCGTCACCAGATCTTTTTCTAATCATTTCGGTACACATATTCAAAGTGACCGATCAGGTAAGGAAAAAATTGAGGATCATTGGGGAGGATACTAACCCACCAGCAATAGACACGCATGAAGCAGCTAAGGAAGTCTAACAGACACAACACGAAGTAAATGTACAGCAGAGTTTGCACCAGCACTTTCCATTATCACTTAAACCCTATTTCTACGCGTTCTTGAGCAGTACGAGGCATTATACTGTAAAATATAACCGAATAATTAAAAATTAATACCGTTTATTTTTCTGTATCTGTATCTAATAGTTTGGAAAGGGATGAGACAGCGAGAAAGCTAGTAAAAAACGTCTTGATTATGACGGAGATCAGACTCTCCTTCGTGTGGAATGTTATAATCTCAATAAGGAAATATTTAACTCTTAAAAAATAGGCAAAAGGTCAGGGTTGTAGCGTTTTAGTTTGCAGAGCTGGTCTGTGATAAAGCTTAGATTTACACTGACCTTCGCCAGGTTTGGAGCGGAAACAAGCATTATGGCTCTCATTAGAGGTAAATAAACTTATGCTTTGTAGAAGGAAAAACAGTAAGATTTATAGAATACTTTTAAATCATATATATTTATAGGAGTTGGAACCGTGCCCACTCCACGAATTGAGAAGTTATATAGTACTGTAAACTATTACAGTGGTAATGAGAGCGTCATTAAAGTGTTGTTAAATGACAACCTCTTGTCATTTCAAATAAAAAATACTAAGGAAAAACTGCCATTAAAGATGTTAAAATCTTACTGTCAAAATAAATGTAAGTGGGAGAAACCAGATGCATTATTCTCGACAATTAGAGAACGTTATGGATTAATCAATATGCTAACAGAAAATCATAACGTTTTGGCACTCTTTTTTGGTATCGTAGTGGTTGCAAAGCATGTTTTATATAATTAGCACTAACCAGAAATGTTCAGACGTTTGTTACAATGTTGCATTCTTGGTAACTGGCATTTTGATTAAAACATAGGTGATGCTTCTCTAAACAGAACAGGGCATGAAGTATTATTGAAGTATAATTTAAATGGAATATGGGTCCATTGTGGTGTAAATTGAAGGTGAAACTAACTGTATACCAGTGATTTAAAAGGGATGTCTCTAGAACATTAATACAACAAAAAGTTTGAGTAGGGAGCTGTGTCAGCATGCATAGGCTGCAAAAGAACAGGTAAGTGTTTTTTCCATGCTGAAAAGAAAATAGACACAGCATTTTGGCTGTGGAGCTTTCTTCAAGTGTCACCTTCACACCTGAAGAAGGTTCCACAGCCAAACTGTTGTCTCTCTTTTCATTTTAGCATAGAATAAACCTTTACCTATTCCACTGATACAACAGGCACTGTAAGTAGTTGAAAGCCTTAATTTACAATACAAATAAATTGATTTATTCCCTTTTAGGTTTTATTGAGCTGATGCTTCTATCCAGATTACATTTCATTTACATTTGTACCTATTTGGACTTCTGTTTGTGCCCATTTATTGGAGCTGCACTCAGATAGCATTTTACTGGAGTGAAGTTCTTTACTCAAGGGTGCAATAGCAATGACTCTACAAGGGATTTTAACTCCCACCATTCCAGTTAAGACTCCAGAAGTCCTAACCGCTGCCCCCTGTTTCAAACATATTGAATGCTGCACAAAAATATCAGTTTGATAATGATCAGGTATGCAAAGGAACAAGTGAAAGGTGTATTCCATGCTGAAAAGAGAAGAGAAAAAACACAATGTTTCAGCTGTGAAGCCTTCTTCAGGTGTGTGAAAAAGAACACCTGAAGAAGACTTCACAGCTGAAACGTTGAGTTTTCTCTCTTCTTTTTTCAGCAGGGAATAAACCTATTACTTGTTGCTTTGCAGACTACGCATGCTGATGCAGCTACCCACCTGAACATGATCAGGTATTGTAACTTCAATGGTAGAGAGCTTTTAAATGGCTCTGTGGCTAAGGATCAGCGTCTGTGACTGGAAGGTTGCCGGTTCAAATCCCGTGGCTGGCAGAGGAATCCTACTCTGTTGGGCCCCTGAGCAAGGCCCTTAACCCCAACTTCTCCAGGGGCGCCGTACAATGGCAGACCCTGCGCTCTGACCCCAAGCTTCTCTCCCTGTCTGTGTGTCTGTGTCTCCTTGGAGAAAAGCTGGGGTATGCGAAAAGACGAATTCCTAATGCAAGAAATTGTATAGGGCTAATAAAGAAACATTAAAACATTACATTTAAACACTGAATTACTTCACTGACTCATTTTGGATGGATGGTGTGGTAGCATGCCTCACAGCTCTTAGGTCTTGGGTTTGATTCTGGCCTGGGGTGCTTTCAGTGTGGAGTTTGCCTGTTCACCCCTAGGCCACAGGTGTTCTCAAGGTGCTCCCACAGTGCTAAGACTTGCAATCTAGGTTCATCAGCTTCTCTAAATTGTTGCCGTGCATGTGTGTGTGCCCTGTGACAGACTTCTGTCCCACCCAGAGAGCATCCTGCCTCTCTTCCATTGTCTGCCAGGTGCACTGGATAAACCCTGCACTGGATAAAGCGGTAATGGAAAATAGAATGTAACATTTTCTTCTGCAGACAGTATCATCTTTTTACAAAGATGATAGAAAGCTCACAATCTAGAAAACTGGGATTTTGTATGACTAGACTAATAAACATGCACAATACAGCAATGGTTTCTGCTGTTTTATTTGGCATTCTCTCGTCTTTTTTGAAAAACATGAGCAAGTCTTTATAAATACGTTTATGGGGTCAACTTCTAAGGATTGCAGGTGTGTAGGCACTGTGTGAGACCTTCTGTTCAGTATTGTGCAATTACTGGATATCTGGGGCACCGGGTTCACACAGACATGTAGACAGCATTTGGAATTAATCAAACAACACACATACAGTATGCGTCTTATTTGCAGAACACGTTCCTGCACAACAGAAGGGGTTGAAGTGACATCAAAATCAATAGGGCCTAGGGGAGCTCAGCATACTTCCCCAGGAGGCAAACAGTCACAGACTCCAAAACAAATATCCTGTTGACGTACACAGCACGTAGACTGTAGGATGTGCATAAAGGAAGAAGGAAAATAAATTAACCAAGCATTTACAATAATCACAATAATAACTCCCAATTTCAATACTAATATTCAATTCTGCCCCTACGCTCAACTCCCACTGACATGTTTGAGTAGGTAGTTTGGCCTTTAAAAATGAATCAAACAAAAGACATTTTGGATGTTAAGTAATTTTGTTTCTAGTCCTACAAGAAATTAGAAATGCCTGAATAAGGAAGAAAGAAGGATAAGTGTTGTGCCTTAGCGTTAGAACAGAATGAGTGCACCTTGTTCTTTTAACAATAAACATGACACCACCTTGGTGGCTTTTGGGGGGGGTTTCAGCCATAATGGGGGTCGGCATGTCTGACAGGACTGTGTCTTTCTCAGGTGTGTTTATCGTGTCTGCCAAGCGCACGCCCTTTGGCACGTACGGGGGGCTCCTGAAGGACCACAGCGCCACCGACCTGGCAGAGCACGCGGCGAGGGCGGCGCTGGCTGCAGGGAACGTGGCACCGGAGATTGTTAACAGCGTCATTGTGGGTAACGTCATGCAGGTAAGACCTGTCCAAGCCAGCTCCTACAGGTCAGGTATCAAGGAATGCACAATAGGTGTGGGGGGGTTATGGGGAGTATATCCAAACTGTGCTGAGATGGAAATTAGTTTGCAATCCTGGACATCACCCTGTTGAGTTTATTTAGTTACTGAAGGGGGAACTGTAGTACCAATATCTCAGACCAGTAATGAAACCTCAGTAAGAAAATCCATTCATTAATGGTATAGTAAAATTTCAAATTAAGCACAAAATCATGAACGTTGTGAAAGTAAGTTGCCACATTGTCACAAACCCAGCCTCACCACGTGAGAGTGAGAGTTCCCACAAAATCTAACATTATGCAGCCCTTCCTGCTCACTAGTCACCACATTACAATATACAAGTGAATAAGTACAGGATGTGCAGCAGACATTTCACAACAGAACTGTTCCAATGTGATCTGCATGCAGAGTTAACAAGTCTTATTTATCGGTAAAATTGTTTCAAAACTATTTCTGTTGGATTAAAAGAGTAAGACAGCTTGTTTACAACGTAATAAGGGTGCTTCACATCACCACAAGTGTTGTTACCCTGTTCTGAATCACAGAATATGGAGCAGCTGCACATACAGTACCTGGTAATTTTGTCTCTTTTGCAATGTAAATTGGATGTTTTAGAAATTACAATGTACCTCTTACTTTCATTGTGGTTTGAATTGCACTCATCAATGATGATTCTTTCCAATAATTTCTAATAAGATTATTCTAGGGTTTAAAACAATATTGATACTTCTGCTGTGTTTGCATCTGAACAAGATAAGTCGATACACATTTCTGCATAATAAAATCTAAATTCTAAACCGGGTCAAGAATTTAAAGAACGTCAACGGTTTAAGATGTATTGCACAACCGTGAAATAAGTGCTTTTGCTTGTTCTGGATCATGGTACTATCAACACGAAAGGGTTTCATTGCCTTCATCCATTTTTTTTAACAGGCTAACCTCATGAGATTTTCTATATGTTTCATGAGGTTTCTGGGAGGATAGATGCACATTTGTATGTAGAGTACTTTAATTTTCAATCCATTTTACATCTGGTCATTTCACAACACCAGGAAATAGAATAATCTAAAGATAGTTCTTTAGATAATTTACAAGATCAAAAGGAAGCAGACATGGATAAAAACTAGGCTTAAATTGGATCTTAAGTATCCAACATGCAGAATTAAAAAATGTTTCTGGCTCCTAGAGCAAAAGTGTTTTTTTTTTATCATACACATACTAAGTCAATTTGCAGAACACATTAAAAAAGTACCAATCATAAGCGTTTCATCACAGATCAGCAGTTAGGAGACAGTAGTCTATCCCTTCAAACTAATGTTGGAGAATGCTGGATTTGTGAAGTAACAGCTTTTGTTTTGATGCAGACATCAAAAGCTTGATGAAATAATTATGTAGTATGTACTGATTAACTACAGCATTTAGGATATTACTTGCACCTTCCATGAACCATAACCATAAAAGTGTACAATCTAATATTAGACCACACTGGTAAATGACAAGCACATTTGAAAAAAACTAAGAAACTATTTAAAAAAATCCTAGCCCCACCTCTCAAAGTTCAGGAAATACTTTCATATACTTTTTCCCACACAGCATGTATTATCAAACTTTACCCACAGTACCCCAAATTTCCTTTAAATACCAAACACAGCTTTATTGCACCAATGTGAGAATTTGGAATACTCACCCTTCACCAGTCATACAAAAATTAGGTAATCTCCACAAGAGTAGGAGCCTTATAGCGACCTCCAGTGGCAGGTTGCTCTACCCGCATCTCTTAGTAAGCTAAACGATCTGGTTACAGATTTAACTGAATCTGTTTAAAAGTTTTCACAGCATTTTAGGTGTGTTTCTTTTAACAAGACCTGGGGACAATACCCGGCGACTGGCCAGGACTAGAATAGGATATTGCTACTTTGTATAATTCAGAAATAAAAGTCTTCAGGGAAATACATTAATTCCCCAGTGAATGTAGTACACTGGAATGAAATGGATTCATTATTTAATAAAAGCTGTATATTACACCTGCCTGTATGTAATAGACATGTATTGTTCTCTGTGCAACATGCTAGGCACTAGAGGAAATTATAAGTGAACCTTTGGGACCTAAAGATGGCGGTCGGTTCTCCTTTTATGTTAAAGGAGTATTATTTTCATTTTTTCTCCCTTTGTTTTTCTCTCAGAGTTCCTCTGATGCGGCCTACATAGCCAGGCATGTGGGCCTTCGTGTCGGTGTGCCAATTCCTGTCCCCGCTCTCACAGTCAACCGGCTTTGTGGTTCTGGCTTCCAGTCAATTGTTAATGGAGCACAGGTAATAGGGGTTTCTGAACGTAAAATGCCAATGGATTTCTATTTTGCTGTGCTTTTGTGTACATACAGAAGCTGGCAAGAAATGTTAAGGTTTATAGTACATCAACCATTTCAAAACAGCTTAGCAGCTCCTTTGTTTGAGACTAAATCAATGTTACAAGATGTGGTTTCATGTCATGAAGTAGGCTTTCTGTTCTGTGATTGTAAGCACAATTGTTTTGTTGTTTGTTGTTTTTGTATTCTTCTGTGTTAAGAGAACTGTTAGATCAATCAGCAATGCCACATTGGGTTTAGTCGTTTAATAAAAAGTGAATAGCACCCCTATTTCAAAAGGTTACTCGTCAGAAATCGGTGGAACATTATGTATTGTGTCTATTAGAAGCATCTCTGAAAGTGTCATTCTGAACATTCCATACAAACATTGGCTCTCTGAGTGTTTTACAGAGTAACAGCATTCATTAGTTTGACTACTATGAAGCGTATCCTATTGGCTCATTAAAAAATAGCTCTTTATGCTTTACTGCAGGGATAGGAATCTCCGGGGCCAAGGTAGTGCAGGTTACTTGGGTACATTTCAATTAGCCAGTGATTAAAAACTATAGGTCATTTGACCACTTGTTAATCAATTTTAAAAGAAAAAAAAGACATACTGTATATAGAATGAAACCCAGTGGGTCTTGCAGGCCAAAACAATTTCATTGCCCATCTTGGCTTTAAAGATTTTAAACATAAGTCTCCTGATTGTTCAAGGATCCTTATTTTTTTTCAGGAAATATGCCTGAAGGAATCTGAAGTGGTTCTGTGTGCTGGATCAGAGAGCATGAGCCAGGCTCCTTATGCAGTGCGCAACATCAGGTTTGGAACAAAGTTTGGGGTGGATCTCAAGGTAAGAAAATACAGAATATGCCTTTAAATATTTATTAAATACTCAATAACATGCTTTTTGTAATCTGACATTTCATTAGTATTGTATAAAGTGCTTTGTTTCCTGTTAAAATTTTTAATACCTGCTAATGTTAAAATGAGCAAGAGCCATTGCTGCAAAGTAACATACTATAGAGGCACTTTACTACATCAAGGAGTCCCAAGGAGTCATTTAGGATGGATAATTGAACTGGGAAACTCCAGCTCCTCTTCTTTAAACACTCAATCACATAGCTTTTTATTTGCAGGCATTCCGATATCATCAATAAAATGTATGCTTAACTCTTTTAATGTCCGTCCAACTATTAGGAAATTAGAATTATCACATTTTAATGCCTTAAGGGAAATAAAAATATGTCCAAGATTGTGTTTTAACTTTACCTGGGTTGCTATCTGCATGGCGTTTTTATGTTCTTCCCATGTTCGTGGTGGGTGGGTTTTCTCTGGGTTCTCCAATTTCTCCACGCACTCTGATACTGATAGTTTAATTAGTTTCTGGTAAAACTGGCCCTGATGTGAGAGTATCAGTGTGTGTGTGTCTGCCCTGTGACGGACTGGTGTCCTGTCCAGGCCGTATCCTGCCTTGCACCCGATGCTTGCCAGGATAGGCTCTGGATCCCCTGCGACCCTGTTTTGGATGAAGCAGTTAGAAATTGAATGGATGGGTGTTGTTTGCCGTAATGCGAAAACAGTGCTGTGATTGAAAGTTGTCTTTTGTCAGATGGAAGATACTCTGTGGGCAGGCCTGACAGATCTGCACATCAAAACCCCAATGGGAATAACTGCAGAGAATCTTGCCGAAAAGTATGAAATCACCAGAGAGGACTGTGACAGATATGCGCACCAGACGCAGCAGCGATGGAAAGCTGGTGAGTGTGTAGTCACTTCTTTGGTCATGATGCCTTTACGTGTGCAATGGATCATAACTGAAGATAAATACATCCATTAAGTACCTGTATAGTCTACGCAGCATGGTTTTTAGAGATTATCAAAACTAAACAAAATTAAATACCAAAGACCGCATCACGTTCATCTGTATTTTTAGTCATAACATTTTGTTACCACTGACAATCCTATCCTTCACTTTAGCATAAACAGGAGCATTTAAAGGAGCATAAACACACTTAATGCGTTTCAAGATTAATAATATTGTGCACAGTTTGGTAAAGCTGTGTGTGAAACTGGGGGCACTACAAAGTCCACACATTATATGGTGTAGGACTGGACTCCATGAGGAAGCCACCTTCTTGGCTCAAGGTGTGGTCAACCAATAATTCCAGTACCCCAAGATTTCAGTCAACATATCGAGGAATTGTTTTGTTTTGTTTTGAAACTGAGAATTTAGTTTATGGATTTTTATGCCAGAACATTTTTTTCCCATATTAAAGATCTTTAAAATACATAGTAACTGAACAGTCTGCTTTCTTTTCCAAATTTATAGTTAAATGTATAACCTTAACTAAACAAAAGAAATAAACCAAAGAAAAACTGATTTTTTCTTGCTCTAAAATACAAAATAAACCCTTTAAGAACCAAAGCACACAAGAGAGTTCCAGGACCAAGACTGAAAACTACTACACTAGAGGAGAATGTCTGTTATGTTCTGGAGACTACACTAAGTGGGAGGATTTTTTAAACTGTTTGCATGGCATTATGGAAATTTGGGCAGATACAATTATCATAAACCATTCTGAAATGTAGCTTGGTATGGTTAGGATGCTTGTTGTTTTGCACCAAATTTCCCATGTAGTTTTCTTGGTTAACTATCCTCTAATGACATATTGTTTTTTATGGCACTGGACAGCCCAAGATGCAGGCCACTTCAGTGCTGAAATGACTCCCATTGAGGTGAAAACAAAGAAAGGAAAACAGCCAATAAATCAGGATGAGCATCCCAGGCCTCAGACAACGCTGGAACAAATGGCCAAATTGCCAACTGTCTTCAAGAAGGGAGGAACGGTCACTGCCGCAAATGCATCAGTACGTATCAGTACATCTGCATAAGCATTTAAATTAGCTCTTTCTTATTTTCACTTTGACTTATGTACAGCGCTAATTAACTCATGTACATGTCAACACATGCCTGTCTGTCTGGAAAACACTGTGACCATGATGTGCTACTTTCTCTAACCCTGTGCAGCACAAAAGGTTTGTTTTGCATTAACTGAAGTTATTTAGTTATTTAGCTACTTTCTCTAACCCTGTGCAGTACAAAAGGTTTGTTTTGCATTAACTGAAGTTATTTAACGGTTCTCATTGTGCGTAACAGAAGTCCAGATTCCCAAGAAGAATATACTTATATAAGAATATAAGAGCGTTTGATTTATCCCTATACATTTATCCCTGTATGCCACACTAGCACCCTGAGCTTTGTACTATAATATCTAACCTTTTTCTTTGTGGTAACAGGGTGTGTCTGATGGTGCTGCTGCAGTGGTGATAGCCAGTGAGGAGGCACTGAAACAGCACAAGCTTACACCTTTGGCGAGGCTTGTAGCTTATCATGTATCTGGCTGTGATCCCAACATAATGGGTATCGGTAAGTTCTGTTTCCCTTAGAATGGGATTTTGCTATGATTAAATGTGCAAAGCATAATCTCAAGAGTGGAAAATCTCTCATGTGGTATTTACACATTGGAGGGTGTTTGTCTTCCATGATTTATCTTATCTGTGGGTCTGAAGGTGGTTTTAGTATCCAGTCTGGAATAGAAAGACTCTTGCAGTTGGTCACATGATCCCAAGCAGATGGGGCTGTCCTGGGTAGTTGATCTGGTTCATGATATGTTCTTTCTACCATTCCTGCTCTTCAGTTGTATGGTGTTGTAAAGTGATGAGATTATGGCATTGATGCTGCGTTTCTTCATGTTGGCCTTAACTTTCTCTTGAATGTATGCCATATTTGAATTAAAAAAAAAACTGGCTTTGCAAGTCTGCGTTTGGATATCCAGATGACAAAGTCAGCCTAGAGCAGTTTTTGGATGAACATCATCTCTGCAGTATCAGTCCCATTTTCCCTTCATGACTCAACATTAATCTCTTGTCTCCAAGTGAGCACAAACTACAGCATTATTAACATACTGGAACAGAGCCAAAAGGTTAAGTACCTCATCTTCCATTCGGGATTCCCCACTTCTTTTGATGCTGTTCTTCAACTCTGACACTTGCAGCAAGATTACTCTCAAGATCACTACTCGGTCATCACTTATTAGACATTGTCATCCGTAGAACAATTTTTCACAAACCCTCTTCAGGCTTACAGAAGTAGGTGAAACGTGAAGATAGCCTACAGCTTCTCAACAGAAGTAGATCTCTCTAGGTAAAACATTGATGTATTGTCATTTGAGATTTCCTTCCTCAGATCTAGTGTTCTCTGTATATTTAAAACTCTGCATTGGTATCACTATCTTTGTTTTAGCCATGAGGCCATGTGGCACTTTCTGATGGGCTGCTGTACAATTATATGGATTTTCACATGTATGTACTGTATAATAATGTATTGGGTAACATTTTATTTTTGCACAATAAATATTAATTTAAACTGTGTTACTGTCAATATGTATCCATTTTTATCTTAATTTCCCACAAATTCTACTGTATATACAATATTTTCTGAGGTGATGGATCCTTTTTTTTTCTTTTCTCTTAGGTCCTGTGCCTGCCATTACTGAAGCACTTAAAAAAGCAGGACTATCTTTGAAAGACATGGATTTGGTAGAGGTGAGTTTATTTGGTCAAACCTTGAGTATGGATTCCTATATAGTTTCCCACATGTTGTAAACTACCCTCTAGCTCTGGTAGTTCTCTTTAAGAACAGCAAATATTTGTAGCCACAAGAACCAGGTGTTCAGAAAGCTGTAATTATGCTTCTTCTCAGCATTCATGAGCGGACAGGACCATTACGGTGGAATAAATAAGATGTAGATGAGTTTGAATGGATGATTTTTCAAAGTGAACATCTTTGTTTTTACAAATGTTTTTCTCTGTCTTTATTTACTGTTTAATCTATTCTTATATAAAACCATGATAATGGTTAGAACCTGCATGCTTTTACATACATTTTTCCCCTTCACATGATGAAGACCTACCTTTAGCGCACATGTGCGTGTTCGGTCAGAACATTGACTTGATGCTGCCACAAGCGATGGATCAGCTCCAGCACATCAATACTCACCTTCAGATGTCATCTAGTGCACATTTAATGTCACATTGTGATCATCATTACAATACAACAGTGTATCTGTAATGGTGGCAATACAGCATACTGACTTTGTGACTTGCCTTTAAACACCTGAGAACTGGGAGCTGTAGACAGCCTCTTCTGACACATCCTCCTGTCAAAGCCATTCTTCCATTGATGCCCTAGTCCACAGTGCCTGGCGGGAGAGTTAGTGCTGATTGGAAGAGTGGCATATCACATGATCATGTCACTGCAAGACACCAGGTGAGAAGCAGGAGGACCCTGGCCTTTATAGTGCCCAACCCTACCCTGGTAATTCTGTCAATCAAGTATTGTCACATGAGGAATCCTAGTGACGGTGGTCTAGCGACATGACCGATATGCTGTCTATGACTCTTGCTTGAAATTTGAGCAACTACAGTAGATCACAGTGATCATTTTATTGAGCATTTTGTTCCTCTTCCTCATATGACTTGCACATCCTGTCACCCTCAGGTGAACGAAGCCTTTGCTCCACAATACCTTTCTGTGGCCAAGGTGCTTGGATTAGACCCCGAGAAGTCAAATGTGAATGGGGGTGCCATAGCCCTCGGTCACCCACTGGGCGCATCTGGTACAAGGATCACATCTCACCTTGTTCATGAGCTCAGGTAACCGAAATGGCTCCCTTTGAATTTGCTCACTTCTAATACTGTACAGTTTTTCACCCTAATTTTGTGACCTTTGAAAGAAAGTGTGGATAAGGTTTGGATAAATGGAGAAGGTATGGATAGATGAAAAAAAAACTTCATAAGTAAATCATAGGTGTATGAAATTTACTTTCATTTTCTATTTAAATTCAGTTTGCTTACGTCACACTTAAATTTGAATATTTTCTAAAGATTTCTTGTTCAAAAACTGCATTGTGACCCAAGCACGGAGTGTTTTCCAGCTTTTCTCATCATCTCTCAGTCAAGAGTGCAGCAGTATTTTTTTTCTTCTGTCTCATGTGCTTATGCAACAAGCTAAAGGGGAAGTCAGAGGGCTTTGACAGTTGTGTTTATGTAGAAGGTTTCTCTGGTATTCCTGGAAACTTTCAGATACCTATCAATAGCCTTTCATTCTTATTAGACACACCTTCCTGCAGATTTTCAAATCTGTGCAAAGACACACATACTAAACTTGATTGTGCCTTTTGCATGACTCTTTTGATTGGCTTCTCATCCAGGGGAATAGCAGCTGTTTGTTTTCAGTACTGCCTCAGATCCTTTGCTTCCAGGACAGGCTTCAGGTTGTCGCAGCCTCACCAAGATAAGTGTCTTTCTGGTGGTGGACAGAGGACTAAAACATGAGGAACTCCCTGTTGAATTGATAGGCTCACTTACTGGCAAGCAGTGCGTGGCTGGATTAAGTAGAATGAGATTGACTTCCATCACCATCCTTGGCCTGAACAATCCCCAAATCTCAGTCCTATTGAAAACCAGTAGATCTGGTAGAATATGCAGCAGTGAGGAGTAGTGTTCGGGGATCTGGACTTGTAACTGGTTACGGCATTATTGTTGTACAACAATGATGGTTTGCTGAGGTTGCTCCAGTACAATACCCTATTGTGTAAATGAGTACACATGTAAGCTGCTCTGGATAAAAGCAGAAATACACTTCAACATGGTATTACCCGGTGTTTCAACTTGGTATTACACTCATCACATCCTCCACTGAAAACACTGGTATTTAAGAAAGGGGTGGGATTGGGCTGTAAATAACTCAAAACCTTGTGGAATGTGTGCAAAGTCCTGGTCAGGCTCTTTTACTGCCTCGCACAAAGGTAGCAGCACATTATGTGGAGGGGGTCGCACTGAGTGTACTATGCACTGACTATTTTCCTTGAGACCATCTGAACATTTGGGCTTCCCTGTTTTGTTGCACCTGAAAGTATGTTACATATAAACTGATTTCATATTCTGATCTTAAATGGGGGCAAATAACTTTAATAAAATTAAACTTCATTTCATTTCCAATATAAACCTTAATTGTTTGTGCCTTAAATCATTTGTATGTTTATGGACATAGGTTCACATTGTACTGTATAGAGTTTATTATAATAATATAATATTATTATCTGTGAAATATATCTTATGTTGTACCTAACTCATATTAAATGCTATTGTCCTGTATAACAGGACTTGTGTGTTCACCTGCATATTTATTTTAACTGGGTGAAGTGACCTAATAGTACATTGTGCAAACACAGAAGAAACTGGAATTCTATATGTGTTTATTAATATTTAGATAACCTCCCTGTAGGGTTTCTTTCTCCACCTCACGTGGTCACCTTTGAAAAGCCAGGGCACAGAAACCACTCACTGGAACCAGGACTGGGTTCTGTTCCCTGTTTTATTTACAATTTGTTTAACAAACATGTGCTCAGCCTTTCAGTTGTGATTAGTAGACATGGTTTAAAAGCATATGGAGCTGAAAAACAGGAAATATCCCTTACTCTGTTAATAACTGTGGTAAAGATATTTTATAACAGTGCAGAAAATTGAAATATATTTTATGTTTGATTAAATAAAGTTGTGGCACTCAATGAAACAAAGTTTGGTATGTCCATATATATTGAATTAGCACAGTTCCCATTCAGTTCCTGTCAATTAAAATTTAAATCAAAGCACATTACTAGGTGGTCTGATCAGATCATAAACTGCTTTGTTCCTTTTTATCCCTGCTGTTTCTTTGCACATAAATACTGAGAACGCAACGGCACCAAAGACAATATCTTTGGCACTGATATGTGTTGTGAGATGCACTTCTTTTGTCCTGCACACTTTTAATGTCACCAACAGCCGCGGCTGGTGCAGATCACAGCGGTCCTGTACACAGCAGACATGGTCAGCCTGAAACACAGGGTGATGTCATGGAAATATTTCCCGAGCCAGCTGGAAACCTATCCAGCCTTCTGGATCAGACAACTTAGATTTACTTGAAATGCCTTTAAAACCAAAGACCACCTGTCTGCTTGTTTAAAAACAAGCACACTAATATATAAAGAAAAACAAAAGGCTGGAAATGTTGCAAGAGAGTGCTTTAAACAGTTAATCCAAATGAAAATACATATTTTTTATTATTGAAATCCAAATTCTGGGACCTTTCAGCACTTTTCTTTTGGGGATACAGGCAGACCTTTGTATTGTGTAAGCTGTCACTATAATAACTATAGCAGATGGGTTATGAAACACTACACAACCTATTGTGCTTTGCTTGTATTTACTGAAATAACAGCAATGCACTCCGGGAAATGTGGCACGCTACATTAAAGATAAAAAGAGTTCGATCATAAAAGAATATGTGTGTAAGTGGAAAAAAAATGCACATAAAAAGCAGTAATTATACAAGACTAATTACAAACTACTTGTCTTTGAAGTTCCAGCAGGCAGATCACATAGGCTACATAAGAATTCTTGCTTATGGAAATCAACAACACACATATATGGAGAAAGCCAGCAGTGTGTAAGCAGAATACTGCACACTGAATTAGGTCCAAATTTAAATGACTCTTAACGAATGCCAACTCTTTTGCCATTTTTCCATAGTGCTGTCTTCTCTAGGGCTGATTCATTTGGACGATTGATTGGCCGATGATAATTTGCTATTCCTCACATCCTAATGTCTCTCAATCAACACGTATATGCTATAATGTATACGGTATATACTGTATATGCTAGCTAGCTCAAGTAACAAAGTATTGTAGTTAGCACAGTGCACCTGCTAAAAAGCTAATAAAATAGTATTAATGTAAGTGTAATGTATTTTTTTTCAAATACTTTTATTCTGTTTAGCTTAAAACATTAGATACAGATTAAACAGGATTTTTTTGGTTTGCTCTGTAGCATACTGTTGTCTTGGTGTATATACAGTATTGAATAGAAAGTTGAAAGAAGCTCAAAAGCCCTTTAACATCCTCACGTTCCTAGAATATCACCCCATCTAGGAGTATTTGTTTCCTGCAAAATACATAAACTTCCATGGAATTGCTTTGAAATAAGCTATCACGCCACCTTAATAACTGTTATTGTTTATAAGAAAGCTACAGTACAAACAAGATGAGGCCCACCTAGGCTGTTTGGTTACTACCTAATTAGGACCTCATCCAGCCGTTTCTTGAAAGAAGTCAGGGTTTCAACAGCACAGCAGGGGTTCTTTTTCTATACTCCCACAACCCTCTGGGTAAAGAAGTGGTGCTATTAAATGCCTTTCTACATTGTTTCCACTTGTGTCCTCAGGTTTGTGTTTCTGTGACACCTCTAGCTGACTAGCAAATATTACCTAAGAAGGGAGTGCACACAAAAATAACATGTTTCCCTTCCATATCTATGGGCCTTTGTTCTTAAGGCAGTAGCAACTTGTTCTTGGATTCACACACTTTTTTCTGCTTCTCTCACACCTTATGTACAGTATGTCCCAATATGACACAGTGAAACTGACGGTTACTATGCAAAATATTGCATGTATATATTGTGTAATGAGAGTGTCGTGTAACTTCTGTTGCCTCATGGTGAGGAAGCTTAAGAAGCGGGACTCGTGTAAAAAAATGGGGGGAAAAAAATAGAGAAAAAGCCATTCTATATCCCTGTATTCTTCAGCTGCCTCTTTAATAAATACTGGTAATATTAATTCATAAAAGATGTCAGAGTGTGTGGGGTAACGCATAAGCCACCATTTCCTTACAGGTGAGTGTTTGATAAATGAAAAAACATTTCTCCAGAATTACCTTTCTTATCAACAATATCCATTACTAAAGTAGTGTGATAGATTAATTTATGATAAAAGTAATATTTCTTCCATGAGACTGGATTCATAGCAAATACCAAGCTATGCTTGGTGTGTTTGACAAGCCTGGGGACTGATTAAACCTCAAGAAAACAGGTTCATTCACTTCATTAACTTGTCTAGCTTGTTTTTGTTCCTTCCACTTATGTGTCTAGCTTTGTCTTTCAGAAACCACACTGTAGAATTTAACTACAGCGTTGTTTCAACTGACAAGACTGATTTTACAAAAATATTATGTTCTAATGCATGCAGTCTTAAAAGCTAGTTAGTTTAAAAGTTCTAATTTAATTCATTTTCATACAGTTATGTAGATGTCTTTGAAACTTAGTTTAAACTTGTCTTAAACGTGTCTAAACTTGTTAAATTTATTTTACATTGTTTTCCCAGGCGACGTGGAGGAAAATACGGAGTGGGGTCTGCCTGTATTGGCGGAGGTCAAGGAATTGCTGTAATCATTGAGAATACTCAATGAGGAAACAATAGGATGGACTATCATCACTGCTTTCTCATTCAGAATGGCAATTTTTAAAATAAAGTCCAGGTGCTTATGTTTACAGAAAACAGAAAATGAAATGAGGTTTAATGACTTCACTACCACAACTTCCTAGTACCAGTTTTGTTTTTGTTTGACAATTGAATGCAATTGATGCTACAAAATAATAATAGAGGTCTTCTACTAAAAAAGGGCTATTAATATGAAAACAAATTATTTACTTTACAAATATGATAAAATATTCATGCTTTCAGGTGTAGTGAAAGCATTACAGTAGCAACTGTTCTCTTACTATGTAGCTGACACTCAGCTGTTCTGTTATCTGTATTTGCTTGGCATATTTACTTTGTAACAGGGAAATACATGGTAATAATTCCTGCATGAAGTGAAAAAGCCGTGAAGATTTAATGTTGATGCCTATAAGAGTCTATGGATCATATTTAAATAAAGTTTGAATGAGAAGCCTAACTGTGGCCTTATCATTTATGTTGCTGAGGTAACCATGTAATGATTTTAAAATAAAACTTTTATTTGTATTTATTTGTATCATGGCAATAACCATCACCAGTTTTTAGAAATGTGGAAGAGCCTGTTATTCCTCTCTGTTTTATCCCCTTGGATTTGGAATCCGCAGATCAGCTCATTGCAGCAATTCATGCACTTGCATGGGAGTTGCTAACAGATGTCCTCCTAAACGCATGCTTGTGTGGCCACCTGTCTCTGATCCACTTTGCAACCCCACAGCCCCAGCTAGACCCAGCTGATGGCATACAGATGGAGCAATTCAACAACTTAAAGCACTGGTGTTGCTGAGCAAAATGTGCATTGCTGCCTGGAGAATCCCAGCAAATGGCACCACACCAACCTGACCTGACAAATCATACGTATGGGACTCAATAATGAATAGCCAAAGGCTTCTTTATTTCCTTTCCTCAATTTCATCATACGATATAGGTTGATTAATGCATTTGCAATTTCAATGCATTACTTGAATAACACTGTTAGAGGTGAATGGTGTTCATATTACATGGAGCAAGAGGCTAAATGGCTCATTGAAGCAGAACACAATATGTATTATCATTTCTTTCTATATTTTATTTTAGAAATATTCAGATTCAGAAATAATGTGCCTGCTTAGTATTTACATAATATTATGTACTTGAAAATATGAACCACCTTAATACTGCAAAAGCAATCATTCCTTGGCCTGGAATAATACATTTAATCTGGCAGGACTAAAACTCTCATGTTCAAAGCTTATAATATGGGAAATGGCAGTTTTGACAAAAAAAAAATGAATTTTATTGTATTACAACACTGAGTAGTATAGTGTCCAAGTCAATTTTTTCTAACTGGTAATTTTAATTGCTTTAATTAATTTTAATAGAATTGTGCCAGGAAATATACAATTCACTAGAATCCAAAAAGATTTCCAGTAGGTGGCACTATTTTGTCAATAGTGCATTTTATTTGAAGCTGTTCGCTTAACAAAATGTCACCTATTCCATATTCTAAGGACAAATGTGTATGTTGCTAGAAGCACATTTTGGGTGATGGTAGAAATGTAAACTTACAGGTTCCAGTTACCTGTGTGGATTCCTGTAGAAGTGTTGAGTGTTGCAAAGTTAATGACTTTGTATGGGTTGATGTCTTTTATGTAATGTTATATTTATATATATAATGTATTATATAATGTATATTATATATACATTATATATATATAATGACACCTGACACCTGAAGAAGGCTCTACGGCTGAAACGTTGTGTTTTCTTTCTTCTTCTCAGCATGGAATAAGCTTATCACTTGTTCCTTTGCAGCCTACGCATGCTGACGCAGCTACTCACCTGAACTACTATAATGTATATGTACTGTTTGTATGTTTTATAAGTCTCTGCATGTGTAAAACAGCTGCTTGGAGAAAAATAAAATCAGACATCAGACAAGTATTATCATATCTTATTGTAGAATAACATTACCCTAAGACCCCTTAATTTAACGATTTTCTTATTTATACATTTTACGTCTTTCTACGCTTTTGGATAAGAAACAACCTGACCCGAAGGATAAGAGTAAATCATTTAAATGGTACTCTGTATAAACAGTTCTTATTAGGCTAACAAATAATGGTGAGCAGATACTAACAAAAATGCAAAGTATTAGGAACACTTGTTAGAGTTATGTGCCCATCTGCTTAATTCTCAATCGCTTCACCTTTGAGGTCACACTTGAAGTGACCTCAGAAATGAAACAGCTCATTTCTAACCATATACAACTTTAAAAAAGTGTAGTTGATCAAATCGCTCAATTTAGCCCAAAGACATAGAACTGAGAAAAGCTGTAGTAGAAGAGCTCGATGAATATGAGAGTAGTAAGACAAACAAATCTTATCAATCTGTTGACAAATAACTTTAAAAACTTTATCGCATGCCAAAAAGCATGCAATTTTAATAAAGACCAATGCTATTGGCTCAAAATCTCATGATCTGTCCTGTACTTTCATGAGAATCAAGATCAGATACCAAAATGTGTGAAACCAAATGTATATGCTGTGAAATATCTCACAGGAATGTTGCTGTCATAAACTGTCGACAGAAGGTTTAATGGATAAGCTCTACAGCAATGACAGCTAGCAACACACCCAAGAAAATTAAATATGCTTTTACTAACTGAATTACTAACTACTGTACTTACGTCACAGGCACTTCGAATGGCAAATTGGATCAGATATAAGAATATTAACTGTGTATGTCTTTTATTACAGCAAACTTAAAAAACTTAATTTTCCTTAATAATGCATAAAGAAATTAAGAATTTAGGAAAACAGTAGTTATTCTGTGTGTTGGGGGTCGAGACATATACTGTAAACAAACAGACATTTTTTGTATTAGTAAAACTGCCAAATTACTCTCTCAGTTTTGCTGCAGCATATAGCAGCATTCTGTATATATTAAGCCAAATTATAGAGATATGCTGACAAACTTTAGCACTCTATTGCTTTAGGGAAGCGCTGTGAGCTCTAATGAGCTCTGCTGCCTGTGTTGCACACATTAACAGTACATATTTCTTTTAAGTTAAACCTCTCCTATGAAAACTACAGACAGACATAGGGTGAAACAAATATAATGGAGTCAGGATTTATCTTGGTTTTTTCTTAATTTAAATGTTTTTTTATTTAATAATGCATTTTAAACACGTTGGTTTACCTGATCTGGCTCCACTCAAACTTTCAGGGTTAGAGGATTCATTTACAACAGCTAGTTTATCACATGGTTTTGAGAGCAACATTCCAGGCCTCCCTTGTCACCATAAAAGACAGTGGAGGCCTTCTGCTGCAACTGAGTTCAATGTCCCTTGAAATGATACATGGCCCAAACACTTTTCACTGTACATATTGTTTTTCATCCTCTTATTTTTCCTCTTCATCTGCAAAGTAAACTGAAAAGCAGAAGCATAATCTCTGCACTTGCCCTGGCCACAGAAGCGCCTTTATAGACGACTGCAAACATCTTTGTGCAGGCGCCCACTGACAAACTGTGGAAAATACTGTACATCTTTCATGGGGAAACCGTGGAAACTGGCAGAAGTTCAATTCTGTTTCTAAGCAATCTCAGTGCTGCAAACTTGTAGCTCTCTCAAAGAAACACAAAGAGGCGCCCAGATCGAAGTATAACGCATGGCATTCACTGGCTGGCAGGAGAAGCTCTCTATGGCTAAGCCCACTATGGATTCTCACATGGAAGTTAAAGAATGCTTTGTAAGGTGAATCTTGTACAGTATGTGCAGTGCACATTAAAACCCAACCCTAACTTGAACATTTCAGGCGTTCTAAACTTAAAGGAAGATAAACTGCCAAAACCTGATTTTAATTCTCTGCAGCAAAGTTTATATTGGATCCTAACAGTAAAAAAAGAAAGCTACTTGTACAACAATGTACAACGATGATGTATGTGTTCAATTTCTTAATTGAGAATTTTTTAATCGAAATGCAAAAAAACATAGTGTATAATGAGATAATATTGAAACTAAACAAACAATTGTAACCTCTAACCCATTAAAAGGTAAGCATGATTGAAATTATTGTCATTCTTGCCAAGTAATAAAAGACTAAAGTCTTTCTTCTCAGGGACAGCTGAAACTACAGACTATGAAGAAACTACAGAAGTCCTTGAGACAATTGAGGAAAAAGGGTTGTAGAACAAGGTAATAACCTAACTTCTTCTGTGGCAATTTCTTCCTTATTAAACACCTGAATGAAATATACATTTTGTAAATCAGCCATTTCCAATGTATCATTGGATCGATTCCCAATCTTATCTCTGATCCACTTCACTTACTGTAGCCCTTTCCTGTTCTTTTGCTGTTGTAATACTGTTACAAACTTTTATGATTTTAGCCTTCATTGCAATATTCCTTTCTATCTCTGCTTATCTTCTAATATCCTTCCGTTTTAACTGTGCTTGCAATTTATCATATTCATTAATTGGATCATGTTCTCTTTTTAAAATCATTTCATCATGTGGTATCTTTCTCCTTTTATTTTGCTTTGATTTATTAATCCACTTGGACCACTGTTTTGTAACCTTTGATTCACTTACTCTAGAGATGAATGTGTTCTGTACTTCTCCTTTCTTTTTCTCTTAAACTCTCTTTCCTTCACAATTTTATTGCTGAAACAATTCAATCCTGTAGTAGTTCACAGTTCAATTCTTGAAATTGTAAACCATTGTACTGGACTCTGCCTTTACAGTTTCTATGCATACGTCTTATCACACAATTGTATAATCACAGTTCTCTATTGATTCTCACCTCCATTTTCCTTACTCTATTTTCATTATTTGAAGAAACTGGATCAAATTAGACATTCTCTTGCTGGTGCTCCAACAAACTGAATCAGAAAGAAGTCATCCATTTCAGTTTCAGTTGAGAAATGCCAGGGAAGCTGAAATTTCCCATGAGAAATCATTTCTTCCTTTACACATAATGTATATTCATAGATACATATTTAGATTTTGTGATCTGTAGCTTACTTTGCTTGTCCACCTGGAGTACAAAACCCTCTGATAGCCTTAGGATATCCTTCATACTTAAAGTTCTTAATGTGCAAGGTGGTGATTAGTGCTGGACAAAAGTTTAAACTTAGTGTGAAAAACACAGAACACCATCAGTTGATTGAGATGAATTATAATGACAAAAAAAACAAGTAAAGTGCTACCAAATAAGCAAAGTGTAAGATATTTTATAAAATTTAAATTGTTGCATTTTCTTTTAAATATTAGAAAAATTCAAAACATGACAGAGCCAGCTATGCTTTGAAGATTAAAACAATAACACAATCTCTGCAACAGGCACATTCTAATAGATTTGTGACACATCTCTTGGAGTTTTGCTATTTCACAAAGGCTTTCTGAGCCCAGTTTCAGGATTAGTAACAGACTCTTTCACCCATTTTGTCCTTACTGGTTTAT